GAGGTCGTGACTGATTAATTTCTATAAAGGTTCAATTTATGGGACTGTGATTAATACCAGGCACACATGCAGAGTGAATATTTGGGCGTTACAGTCTAAGCAGCACATGCAGAGTAGGAGCTGAGCTCCTCCTGCAGTGGGGAAGGCTGGCTGTTCTCTGTATAAAGTCCAAACATCCCTATGGCTTTTTATTCTTTGAAATAATAAAAATCTAATTTCCTTTTCAGAGAGATTCTGGTTGAAGAAAGCAACGTTCAGAGGGTAGACTCTCCTGTCACAGTAAGGAACATCCAGCATGCGTTAGATTGATAGTTTGTCATGTTTTTAAAATGTTTCTCTGGTTGCAGGTGTGTGGAGACATTCACGGACAGTTCTATGACCTGAAGGAGTTATTCAGAGTAAGAGTTTCAAATTCTATTGAGAGAGAAAATGTCACCTTTATGTTTAAGTTGTATGTTTTTTCAATTGAATTAGAACTATTTTGCACCACTGAATCAAAAAATGAAATCCATTTTTTTCATTCAGGTCAGGTTTTTATTCTGATTTGATTTAGAGAAATCCAATCCTCTGACTAAATTTATGACTAAAATAAACATTTTTCAGTTCATTTTTATTAATATTTTTCATCCAAAAAAGATTTTAGGAGAAAAACGTTTTTCTAACAGAGTGTATTAATTAAATGTTACAAACTTGGATTTGTGTAAATTGAATAATAAACATTGATAAGGATTGAACATCACATCGTCACTGTAAAATCCTCCATCTATTTTCTGTCCTGATGGAATCTCTCCTGCTCTTCACTCATTGGTCCAGAGTGATGATCACTCAATGATCAATGAGTGATCATTAGAAGTGGTCATTAGAAGAAGTCGTTCATTTTGATGCTCATGTTGCTCCTTAGTTCAGGAAGTTGATCTGATTGAACAAAACCAATGTGACGTTTGGATTCAGCTCATCAGAATGATCCTAAAATGATTGGAGAAACTCCAGGCGATATTTTTTGGCTGTTGACCAGCGTTATGGAGCTTTAACTGCCTTTTTATTTCCATTTCGGTTCCACATTCATTAAGAAAAGAGTAGGAGCAACATTCTGAGCCTAGATAATGTTGAACTGTTTTTGGACATGCTGTCTCTTATGAACTGAAGGTAATCTGTACTGACAGTGCTGTCCTGTTATTAATGTCCAACAGGTTGGCGGTGACGTTCCAGAAACAAACTACCTGTTCATGGGGGACTTTGTGGACCGTGGCTTCTACAGCGTGGAGACTTTTCTTCTGCTGCTAGCTCTTAAGGTGAATATGAAGCGATCACATATTCCTCGGTTTGTATTTCTGTGCTTCCATTTCATCTTCCAACCTTCTCTTTTTCTCATATCAGGTTCGTTATCCTGATAGGATAACCTTAATCCGAGGAAACCACGAGTCCCGGCAAATCACCCAGGTCTATGGGTTCTACGACGAGTGCCTCCGCAAATATGGCTCCGTCACCGTGTGGAGATATTGCACAGAGATATTTGATTACTTGTCGCTTTCTGCTATCATTGATGGAAAGGTGAGATGCGTTCACTTGTCACCTGGCTGGTCGCTGTTACAGCACCACTTTAATGTGTCTTGGTGTGTGTCGTAGATCTTCTGCGTGCATGGTGGCCTGTCTCCCTCCATCCAGACACTGGACCAGATCAGGACCATTGATAGGAAACAGGAAGTGCCTCATGATGGGCCCATGTGTGACCTACTGTGGTCAGACCCTGAAGGTATCTATCTGCAGGTTTCTTCAACCTGCCTCTAATTTCTTACATTCCAGCCAGTCAGCGCTTCCAAGAGGGAAGGAGGGAGTTTTCCTGCTGATGTTTTGGCTTCTTGTTTGTTGCTCTCAGACACCACAGGTTGGGGGGTGAGTCCCAGAGGAGCCGGCTACCTGTTTGGGAGTGACGTGGTGGCTCAGTTTAACGCCGCCAATGACATTCACATGATCTGCCGGGCCCACCAGCTGGTCATGGAGGGCTACAAGTGGCACTTCAATGAGACAGTCCTCACTGTGTGGTCAGCACCCAACTACTGCTACAGGTGGGCTTCAGTTGGGTCCAGCTCAGTGTTGACTGGACAGTCAACAGACAATTGATATTTTGCAGTGTTTAAAATGTGTTTTTGGTCACTATTTATAAATGCAGAGGCAAACTCAGACCGATATAAAACTCACTGAACATCTGTCTAGGTCTGTCACAGTAACACGTTTTACTGGACGATAAATTGTCCCAGAAATTATTCCAATAAATGATAATATTGTCATTTTGAGACCATTTTCAGTTAATATAATTATTATGGCATAATAATGCAGGTTTGCCTTCTGAAAGAGTAATAAACTTGAATTTTGTATAGAACAGTCCACACTGGAAGACATTTTAATAATACAATAAAACACAACAACCAAAAATAATAAAAATATTAAAACCCACCAACAACCAAAACCATAAATAAAATGGATTATGAAGTGTCTGAGCAAAATTTTCTCAAAAAATATATTAATCAGCAATTGCTGAATGTATTGAGCTTCTTTTAATTTATCGCGTGATTAATTAAATCATTGCTGATTGCCACAGGCTTGCAACTGTCCTACATATTCCTACACTTCGTACAAGTTTTATCTGGGGCTGCATGAACTTAAAAAAATGAAATTATTTTTTAAAATAATTTCAAGGACAATATGGATTGAGATTAACCAATAATTTTCTTTTCCAATATCATTGTCCCGTGCACTAGGCTTGGTCACTAACATAAATGTGAGCTTAACACACAGTGTCATGTCGATCCAACCAGCCATATTTAAATATATTTATCTCTCGCCAGCATTTTGCTTAGAGGTAGGAGAGAAAAATACCTTTTTTTTTTCTTATTCCTTTGGATGCAGACATAGACAATTCTAACCCAATTAACAAATGTGAAAACATGGCTTGTCTTAAAATTCACTTTCAGGTCATGTGTGAAAAGAAAATCACCTTAATAAGATCTATGCAGGAAGCACAAAGTTAAAAGGAATAAAGTTGATGTTTTGATTTTGAGGTGAAAGTAAAACCGTTTGATGATTTCTGTCATAACAAACCACAAGTTGAAGGCTAGCCATGCTAAAAGTTCCCCCAAACCCAGAGAAGATAGAGCTAACCACAAAGTTTATTCCATCTGTTACCACCAAGGATCTGAGCTGAGAATCAACGCGACGCCACAGCCAGACCAAAACAAAGTGAGCGCGTCATAAGCTAGTCTGATATCTGGAATGTGTGATGTATGGAAAGCCATTCCTGCAGAATCTCTCGTTGCTGTAACTACAACTTTTCTGATGCGCAGTAGTTAGTGTGTCTTCAGCAGTTAGCCCGTCTTCAGTAGTTAGCATGTCTTCAGCAGTTAGCCCGTCTTCAGTAGTTAGCATGTCTTCAGTAGTTAGCACGTCTTCAGCAGGGTCACACATGTCTGGAGTTCAGTTTTAGTTACAGGTGAAGTGTTTGGAGGGAGTATCAATGCTCGCAACATCCAGTGTGATCTATGATGCTAATCAAAGGTAATTTTTCAACCTAAGCTCGTATTGGTTTGACCAAACCAATTCTCTTGCCTCTCCTGACTACCAGGTGTGGAAACGTGGCAGCCATCTTGGAGCTCGACGAGCACTTACAGCGAGAGTTCATTATATTCGAAGCGGCACCGCAGGAGACCAGAGGCATCCCTTCCAAGAAGCCAGTAGCTGACTATTTTCTGTAAAGTCTCTGAACCGCCAGCCATCACGTGTCAAATTCTGGTACCATTGAACACCAAACACCCTCCATCCTGCTGCCGGACCATTCTCTCAGCCTGAACTCTAAGCAGACAGAAAACCCGCCCGATCCTCCAGAGCTCTCGCACGGCTGCAGTCTGAAGAGCTGAATCTTTGCCCGACTGCCTGAGCCTGACGGATGAGTCGCAGAGAAAGGTGGAAGGGGGTGACAGATACTGGGCCAATGACTGTTGTCGCTTCTTCTCAGCTATTTGTGGGGGTTGCTCTTAAAGCCTTCAGTCTACTTCTTCCGTCTGTGTCCCTCCTCACTCTGTGTAGATACAACCTTCTTTTCAGCTCAACTCTTTTCTAGTGTTCTTTTCATTTTTTATGACTAATATTGTCATTTAGTTTTAGAATTTTTTTTGGATGGAGCAATTATTTTTTTTCAGAGATATACAGCTGTAGAAGATTTTACACATTTTATCAGTTAAGGAAGTCCTCAGTGGGTTTATCGTCTGATTTTGTATAACTGTTGCTGATGGAAGAAAATACAAAACGCCCCTCTTCCATTTATTTTTCTTCTGTTTTTGTCTGTCATCTGTTGTGCGTTGATATTTAACATTCTAAGTGCTGCTGCTCAGCACCAATACAAGCGAACGCCAGATGTGTAACTAACTTAAGAAAAGTCACAATATTCTTTATTTTTCCCCTCTTAATTCATTTTAATCTCTGGATTGCTCTAGCTCTGTCAATTTTGATATTGTGAAAATAAAGTTTTGTATCAATACTGATTAGTTGCAGCGGTGATTATTTTATGAGCTGCATAAAAATGTTTGTGGTGGCTTTTTATTTCAATAAGCCCATTCACTGGAGACACGAGAAAGACGCAAGTATTATATATTTCTGATTAAATTGTTTAAAAAATAAAATAAAAAATGGATCCACTCGCAAGTTCCAGGATTTCAGATTGTTTTTGTTTCGTTTGTTAGTTTTGTAACAAAGAAAAAAAAGACCGTGTTTGGTATGTTGAGGTTTTGTTGAGCTCCAGGTTTGATAAAATGTTGCAGCGTAAAATGTGATTCTTTTTTTGTTATATTTCGTGTAGGTAAGCAAAAGGTATTAGTATTTCTCTTTCCCAGAAGTTTCTGAATAAAATGTCAGCTGCGGCAGGATACAGCGCTGGGGTGAGAGTGCACGCGCTGTCTTGCCTGACTAGTTTTCCGGCTCGTTTTTCCAGCTAGAACAAAAACTAGGCCCCGCCCCACCTCCCAAATGGAACAGGACCGAGACCGGTAGAGGACGCACCACCCGGAAACCAGAAATCCTCACCTGAAGCACTGGCTCGTCACGACGGCTGCTGTCGGCTCTGATAGTTGGAGAAACCAGCACATCGGCAGGTAGATTAATCGCAGCTTTATCTCTTTTCTCAGTTGATTTTGAGCTGTTTACACAAGGTTGTCCAGTCACCGCGGAAGTATACATAGCAGAATAGACGAACTGGTTGTGCATCATATAAGAAATGGAGGAAATAAACGAAGTTTCTCATGTTCTTTGGGAATTATCTGCTCACTTGTAGAAGCCGGAGGGTTTTCATATTTCTGCTCGAACATTTGTAGTGATTTTGGAACTATGAGTAGCTTTGACAGTGTTTTAAGTTGACCAACCTATTACTCATCGTAAACTAACCGGTAAAGCTGTTCATCAATCAGGCGCGGTGTTTGCTGTCATGTTTCTGTGATTTATGCACGTAAGCTCAGAGGATTGTTTCCCCAACCCTCATTTTGTATAATTTTCTGTAGATGTTAATGTCGTGCTAAAGCAGTCTAAGATAGTTTAGAGAACGTGACCTGACCTGCGGTTCCAGATATTTCAATATATGTCTGTTATTGGAGAGCTTTTCGCTAATGCTGAAGTTGGTATCTGATTCGGTGATGCAGCACTTGTACTAGTTCACTTCTTTTAACAAACTTGGACTCCCGATTCTCTTTAGAAGTCAAAAACCCGGGTTAAACAGAAACCAGATTATTCTGCAGTGATCAGAAAAGCTTGGTATGTGATCTGGTTTTTGAAAAAGCACTAAAGGATGTTTTTATTATTATTTTTTTTATTTTTAATGTTTTTCTTTTTGTTTTAGTTTCACAACAACCTCAAATGGGATTCAGCTTGACATCTCAATACCGAGTGCCATATTCCTAATTGATTAAGAAGATTGACTTGGGGAAAACTTTCTGTGTGAGTCCAGGTTGATGGAGTGTAATCAAGAGTGTCCCCTTTATGTCCCTGAATGGTTCCAGTCAGGCTTCTGTTCATGTTTTATTCTATTATTGTCTTTCTACATTAAAAACTGAAGATGATACACTACTTGCTGCCACCTTCATAAAATAATGGCCAAAGTAATTTTTTGCTGATAGATGACATAGGCCAAAAATAGAAACAAAAAAAATCACTAATTGAATTCTTTGCTCGATTCTAAAATGTTTCATGTGAAATTGCTTCCTGGGCTAATTTATTTATCAATAATTTCCTAAACTTTTCTGGAACCTTGAACACAACCATCAGGTCAGTGCACCATGACATGGATGGGTAAGATTGGTAGAGATGTGAATGACTGTTCATGGTTTTTAGAAATGGAATAGTTAATAATCACCACCTTTTTTTCTTTTTCTCCTTTCTAAAGATTAAGTCAAGTTAAAAAAAAAATCACAATAATGGCCAACAAAGTTCAAATCATTCACTGGGGATGAAGCATTTCATCATTCCTTTGGGGGGAAAAATGACCTAAGTGTTTCAGATTGTATTAATTGTCAGTGAAGGTAGTCCAGACAGAGTGAAATATCCCTTTACTGAAGTCAAATGTGATACCAACTTCTGCTGACATTGCAAAATGAGGTACATTACTGCTGAGTTTCCTTACCTCAGTTTGAACTAAAGTCTGCCTTTTCACACTAACACTCCCTATCAGCCATTCCTCAACATTGTTTCTTTATTTTTAAAGTTTTTGTATGCGTCAACAGTAAAACTCAATGCATTTCTCTAATCCTTGTCTTTTGCTGAATCACTCAGACAGGCTTGTCAGGTTTTATTACACCTTGTGAAATATGTTTTTTGTCTTCAGAAAAAGAACAACTTACAACTGCTTGTTTTCACCAAAACCAATTCCCAGACCTGTTTCGTGTTGATGTCAAACCCTTTTCTAAAAGTCTGAATGGGATGATGTGCTCCAGGTGCAGGGATGGAGTCCCACAGTCAGGTTCTGGATCGTTTACGAACGGCCTTCAGGTCAGGCATCACTTTGCCGCTGGAGTTTCGTCGAACGCAGCTCACCAAGCTGCTGGCCCTGGTCAAAGACAACGAGGAGCAGATTGTAAAAGCGCTACACCAAGACTTAGCAAAGGTACCTGATACCGGTGTTACACAGACTGACACCACATGACCACACGAGAGTTGCGCAACCAAAGCCTGAGGGATTTACTTGTCTTGTCCTGATTGTGATACAAAAGGAAAGTTTTTTTTTAGTTCTTGTTTTAGTCATGCAGCAACAATCCAACTGCAGGAAGTTCCTACTTAGTTTTTACACAACTTTGTTGTAAATTGTTTTTAAGCTGCATGTGCGATTCAGATCAGTATGTGTCATATCTGCTGAGGGATAACATCTGTCTGCACTGCTGCTTCTGCATTTAGCCAAAATTTGAGAGCATCCTCTCCGAAGTGGAAATGGTGACCAATGATCTCCATTATGCCATCTCGAACGTGGCAACCTGGATTCAGCCGGAGTATGTGTCCAAAAACCTGGTAAGTTCACCTGAACGCTGCGTTTGCTGCTGCTGCTGCTTTCAGCAGAAAGAGCACTGGGAGAAAGTATTTGTTTCCTAGATGCAACTCTTTAATGTAAGGCAAGCATAAACAGTTTTTAAAACTCTTTTATTCATGAAGAAAAACTAATTACTACGGTAACTTAATACCTGGCTGTGCCAGCATAGGCAGCAACATCTGCTATGAAGCATTTCTGATAACTGCCAGGGATCCTTTGGCATGAAAATGCTGGAAGATGGTTTTAATCAGCCATGTTGGATGGCTTTTTGTGTCAGAGTTTCATGAAATCATTACAATTGCCTCCATATTTGGGACCTCTTGGGATGAAGGGGGTGACACCATACCAACAGTCAACACATGGACTTCTTTGCTACTTGAACAATCTGCTATGATTAATGGAACCACAATTTCCTCTTCTGAGAAAAATCCTTGCATGTCACCTTATCAGTTTGCAACCATAATAATCTTGGCTTGTGAAAAGAGCTAAAAACAAAACAGTAACACAAAGGCTTTGAGTGCTTTTGTCAAATGCTGGACTAAAATTTTTTCAAGTTGAGGAGTTGGTGGGACCTTATGGTGCATTCACACCAAATGTATTTTGAGCATCAGGCACGTCTGGTTTACATTCAAAGTCTGTGTGGAGGCGCAATTCGAACCATTTGGAGCGTTTGACGCGCCGAGTGGATCCAACAGGAGCGTTGCTTCACATTGACTTTGAATGTAAACCGGACATGCCCAATAATCAAAATGCGCTTGGTGTGAATGCACCAAAATTGCACACGCATCAAAATTGAAGCGCCAGACCAGTTTTTGACGCGCATAATGAATTTGGTGTGAACACACCATTACAGCAATCCACTCATACTTCATCATTTACCCGGTAGTACAGGGTTAGTTTTACACCAGATGTAAAATGGAGACATGCCTTCTAAAAATGTTCATGTTTGTCTCTTCAGTCCACAGAATACTTTCCCCAACAGTCATGGGGATTATGAAGATCTTCAAAGCCTTGTAGTTCTCCTGGGATGCCATTTTTGTAGTTCCCTTTCTCATTATTGAATCATAAAATCTGACCTTGATAAAGAAGTGTGAGGCCTGTAGATATTTGGATGTTCTGGATTCCTTAGTGACCACACCATCCTTTGGTGGGAATGTTACTAGACATTAAAAGTTCTGTGGAGTGATGTCGGCTCGTCATTCAGGCAACCACAATAGCGAAACATCAGATAACTGAAAATATTAGAGCAAAAATGCAGCTTTATCTTTTTTTTAAGAATTCCAATTCTATATGTTATCATCTGCTTTTAGAAATTTCAATCATTTTGAAATCATTGTCGTGGCTTGTAGTTGAATTGATGCTTTTCTGCTCTTTTCACAGGCTACAAAACTAGATGACTGTTTTGTGCGGAGGGAACCGTTGGGAGTTGTGCTCATCATCGGACCCTGGAACTACCCCCTGCAACTCCTCGTTTTACCACTAGTTGGAGCCATTGCTGCAGGTCTGCAGACTTTGTTTTATTATAACTTGCTGACGTTTTTATTAAATGTCAACAAGGTGTCTGAATCCTTGAGACGGTTCCAAGGTGAAAGGCTCTTCCTGCAGCTTCTATCTCTGTATCGATGCTGTTTGTCACGTGTTTTGAGCTGTGTGAAGTAACTGTTAATGTCCCTGACAGGAAACTGTGCAGTTATCAAACCTTCAGAGGTCAGCTCAGCCACAGACTGCCTGGTGGCTGAGCTCGTTCCGAAATACCTGTCTCAGGTGAGCTGTTCTAAACTCATTTCATGTTTGATGCTGGTCCAGTTTTGTTCTATGGCTGCTCCATGTCAGCTTCATGTCATCTCCGTGTCATCTCTGTGTCATCTCCATGTTAGCTTCATGTCATCTCCGTGTCATCTCCATGTCAGCTTCGTGTCATCTCCGTGTCAGCTTCATGTCAGCTCCGTGTCATCTCCGTGTCAGCTTCATGTCAGCTTCATGTCAGCTTCATGTCATCTCCGTGTCATCTCCATGTCAGCTTCGTGTCATCTCCGTGTCAGCTTCATGTCAGCTTCATGTCAGCTCCGTGTCAGCTCCGTGTCAGCTTCATGTCAGCTCCGTGTCAGCTTCGTGTCATCTCCGTGTCATCTCCGTGTCAGCTTCATGTCAGCTTCATGTCAGCTTCGTGTCATCTCCGTGTCAGCTCCGTGTCAGCTTCGTGTCATCTCCGTGTCATCTCCGAGTCATCTCCGTGTCATCTCCGTGTCAGCTCCGTGTCAGCTTCATGTCAGCTTCATGTCATCTCCGTGTCAGCTCCGTGTCATCTCCATGTCAGCTTCATGTCATCTCCGTGTCAGCTCCGTGTCATCTCCGTGTCATCTCCGAGTCATCTCCGTGTCATCTCCGTGTCAGCTCCGTGTCATCTCCATGTCAGCTTCATGTCATCTCCGTGTCAGCTCCGTGTCAGCTCCATGTCAGCTTCATGTCATCTCCGTGTCATCTCCGTGTCAGCTCCGTGTCATCTCCGTGTCAGCTTCATGTCATCTCCGTGTCAGCTCCGTGTCATCTCCGTGTCATCTCCGTGTCAGCTCCGTGTCAGCTCCGTGTCAGCTCTGTGTCAGCTTCATGTCAGCTCCGTGTCATCTCCCTGTCAGCTTCGTGTCATCTCCGTGTCAGCTCCGTGTCAGCTCCGTGTCATCTCCGTGTCATCTCCATGTCAGCTCCGTGTCAGCTCCATGTCAGCTTCATGTCAGCTTCATGTCAGCTTCATGTCATCTCCGTGTCAGCTCCGTGTCAGCTCCGTGTCATCTCCGTGTCATCTCCGTGTCATCTCCGTGTCAGCTCCGTGTCAGCTTCATGTCAGCTTCATGTCAGCTTCGTGTCAGCTCCGTGTCAGCTTCATGTCAGCTTCATGTCATCTCCGTGTCAGCTCCGTGTCAGCTCCGTGTCATCTCCGTGTCATCTCCGTGTCAGCTTCATGTCAGCTTCATGTCAGCTTCATGTCAGCTTCATGTCAGCTTCATGTCATCTCCGTGTCAGCTTCATGTCAGCTCCGTGTCAGCTCCGTGTCATCTCCGTGTCAGCTTCATGTCATCTCCGTGTCAGCTTCATGTCAGCTTCATGTCAGCTCCGTGTCAGCTCCGTGTCAGCTTCATGTCAGCTCCGTGTCAGCTTCATGTCAGCTTCATGTCAGCTCCGTGTCAGCTCCGTGTCAGCTTCATGTCATCTCCGTGTCAGCTCCGTGTCATCTCCGTGTCATCTCCGTGTCAGCTCCGTGTCATCTCCGTGTCATCTCCGTGTCAGCTTCATGTCAGCTTCATGTCAGCTCCGTGTCAGCTTCATGTCAGCTCCGTGTCAGCTTCATGTCAGCTCCGTGTCAGCTTCGTGTCATCTCCGTGTCAGCTCCGTGTCAGCTTCATGTCAGCTCCGTGTCAGCTTCATGTCAGCTTCATGTCAGCTTCATGTCATCTCCGTGTCAGCTCCGTGTCAGCTTCATGTCAGCTCCGTGTCAGCTTCATGTCATCTCCGTGTCAGCTCGTTCTCTGCCCTCACTGTGCTGCTGCTTCCTCAGGACTGCTATGCGGTTGTTCGTGGGGGAGCAGAGGAGACCAAGGCTCTGCTGCAGAACCGATTTGACCACATCTTCTACACAGGTAGAAGTCCTGTGGAACTCCACATCTGCTGCTCTGAACCAAAAGCATGCAGCACCAGGTTGCACGGTGTTTAGAGGTGTACAGAGGTGTACGTCTGATGGTTGCTGATTGGTTGGAAAGATGTGTCATCTGACATGTGAAGCCATAAGAATATGTGAGCACTCCTCACATTCAGATGTTAAAACACCTGAGTGAGCCGAGCCCCAACTTTGAGATGCAGCTCCTCGTCAGAGTTTCCAAACTTTTGAGCTTCCACCTCACAGAGCAGCCCTTCCTCTTGACTCCCCCACTCAGCTCCTTCAGACTAGTGGCTGCAATTGGACACCTGGTGGAACTGTTTATCTGCTGAGTTCATTATAAAAGCTACTTCTTAGAGCAACCCTGGGAAAATGTTGTTAAAGGGTTATTAGAGGAGCCATGTTGTGACGACTTCCTGAAGGCAGAGTTTCATACAGAGCAGGAGTTTTTAAACAGATAGAGGCCCAATTTCAAGGCATTAAATTACAAAGTCACATTTTTTAAATCCTATTTTGATCATTTTTATTGCAATTGAAGATAACAGCAGCTTATGCTATGAGTTAATATTCTCTGCCCCTTTAAATGATCCTCCTAGCCTGCAAAAAGGACACCTCATAGGCATTCTTGCAAAATATGACATTGATGTCCATGATGAGTGTCTAAGTTCAGTCCTTTTACCATTTCACATGAAAATGTTGCAGCTCCTTCCTCTGTGACCTCTGACACTGAAGCTCCTCCCTCCAGGTTCCCAAGCGGTGGCTCGCAGTGTGGTCCAGGCCGCCTCCCTTCACCTGACGCCCGTAACGTTGGAGCTGGGCGGTAAGTGTCCCTGCCTCATATATGGCCGGATAAACATCCAAGCTGCGGCCCACCGACTGGTGTGGGCCAAGTACTTCAACGCGGGCCAGAGCTGTGTGGCTCCAGACTACGTGCTCTGCACCAAGGCCACCCGGGACGCCCTGGTGCCCGCCCTGTCCACTGTGCTGGAGGAGTTCTACGGGAAGGAGCCGCAGAAGAGTCCGGACCTGTCCCGCATCGTGTCTGCTCGCCACTTCACTCGCCTCATGAAGCTGCTGGAGAAAACCAAGGGCAAGGTTGTTATCGGGGGACAGAGCGACGAGGACGATAAATACATAGGTGGGCCTTTAACTGGTCCTTGGAGAACAATGTTATGCATCTGACCAATCAGGAGCCGCTGCTGACACGTCATTTCCAAACATTTAATCATACATAGCATCTGAGATTCTTTTCTGTAAAGCTCACTCTGACTCAGCCATGTTTACTGTGGCAGGAGCGACGTGTTCAAACTAGTCATTAAAAGATCCTTTTTGAAAGTTGGTAATAAGCTGGACGTGTTAAAATCAATTTATGGTGAAGAAGAAAACACTAAATCCTCCTTCTAATTAAACATTTTAAATGTTGCCATATAAATGCTGTTGTCATGTAAAGCTGCAAGTCAATAAATTAGAAAATCATAGAAAAGTTTATTTGTCTCAGTAATTGAATGCAAAAGGTTCAACTCATATACTGTGTATATTTATCACACACCAAGTTATACATGTCAGTTTCCTAGGAATTTAGTATATTATACTAAGAATAATATACTATTATGTAGGTTCAGTTTTCTAGCTGATCATCGATCGTTAAAAAGCCTGACCTGTGGATCCCGATTTTGGCCGATACTGTTTTTATTTTCTGAAATGTTGCTAAATAAAGCAAGGAAGTCAACAGTCGTTGATTTTTAGACAATGTAGACAAGACTGGCTTGACATGTAAATATCGATCAATCAGCAAAATGAAGTAAATCAGGGCTAATTTATGGGCGCTCCCCTATGTTACACTGAACAGCACATGGATTCCTGCGTTAGTGCGGCGTAGCATGGAGGAGGTCAGGAAGCCAGGCTGACCTTCAGCTCATCTGCATCATTGGTTCTGGTGTCTCATCTCCTATTGGCCACAGATTCTGATTATTTATCAGAATTCTGTTTGATTGTTTTGACGTAATATTACATTTTTGGAAAACCTCAATTCTGAATTTTTATCAGCTTCAGGTCATGATTATAAACATTATCATTAAGGCTTAAATAAACAGTAAATATATCACTCTGTGTGTAATAAACGTAATGGACTAATTTATTATTTAAAATGGCTAGTTATAAATAATTGTTAAAAATTACATTCCAGTTTATTTGAATGTGTTCTGAGTTATTGAGATGTGGTTTTGTAGTAAAATTGAGTAACTTTGGTAAGAGAACATTTTTTTTCAGGTCTGCCTAAATTCATAGTTAATACTCAAAGATATTTCATGTATTGTGAAGTTTTCCATGCGTGTGTCTTCCAGCGCCCACGGTCCTGGTGGATGTAGAGGAAGACGATGCCCTGATGGCGGAGGAGATCTTCGGCCCCATCCTGCCCATCCTGACTGTGGAGGAGCTGGAGAAGAGCTTTGAGTTGGTGAATCGTAAGGAGAAGCCGCTGGCGCTCTACGTGTTCTCTGATGAATCCTCTGTAAGGACCAGAACTCTGCTGGCTGCTTGCTGAAAGCTGGAATCCTGGAGCTGTGAGGATCACCATGTTGTTGCTCTCTAAGGTGGTGAAGACGACGATGGAGAAGACCAGCAGTGGAGGCTTCTGCTCCAACGACGGCATCGTTCACATGGCCCTGCCTGGGCTGCCCTTTGGGGGTGTAGGTAAGTGTACATACTTACTCTATATTTTCTTTTCAGGTCACAAACTATGAGCCATCTTTCTTATAAATGTAGAAAAATCCATTCAAGAACAAACATGTTCCTTTGTTCTAAAACTTCAAAATAAGAAAGAAAATGTTACTATTTTAACCAGCATTTGGTACAAGTACTAAAATAATGATATATTTTATATGTTACAGCTTTTTCCAGAAGACATTTTGAACAATGGGATAGTGGAAGTTTTTTTTAAAGGTCAATGAGTCACGCTTTTTGAAGGTATTTTAGTAGGAGCGGATATAGTGTTGTGTTTTAGATGGTGCAGGTTGCTGACCCCCGGGGTCAGCTGGGGCCCGGGGTCAGCTGGGGCCCGGGGTCAACTGGGCAGCCATGTTGTGGTCGGTTGGAAGTTTGGTTCTAAGTTCTTCCTCATGTTATGTTGTCAGGACGTGGTGACAGTTTTAACAAACGTGAAAAAAACAACATATTTTTATAAAAGTTTTGTACTACAACTTTAATAACTTATGCATATCTAACCGTGTTTCTCTCCCTGCCCATCCAGGGGCCAGCGGCTGGGGTTCCTACCACGGCCGCTGGGGCTTTGAGACGTTCAGCCACCGGCGCGCCTGCATGCTGCGCGGCTGGGCTCTGGAGCGGCTCAACGGCCTGCGCTACCCGCCTTACAGTGAAGAAAAGCTGAAGTGGCTGCGCTGGACCACGTCACCACACACCACCTGCTCTCTCATGTGACGCGCGTCTCTCTCAAAGGCAGCCTGAATCAGCTTAGTTGGAAAATAAAGTGGTTTTTTGCAACATTTTGTAAGGTCGTGGGTGTATTTGTATGAATTAATATCACTTATTTTAAGTGTGAACCTTTCCACATTTTACTGCCTATATTTTTTAAGATGAATTTTTTGCTGAGATCCTTTCTTTGAAAATACTTAAATACTGGTATCATTTATAGCATCGTCTTTGTAAAACTGTAGCATTTCTCCATTTAGTCAGAATAATGAAAATAATTTTTTTCTTTTTTACTTTTGTTGCAAAACAGAGAATTCCATCACTGTCCTTAAGTCACACTTTTCTGCATGGATTTCACATGACAGTCCTCTCCAGGCTGTGGTTCTCCCTGTTGCTGCCTTAGCTTTCCTGGGACACGTCTGCCTTCCACACAAATGTCTATTAATACGCTTTGGATACAGAACTCTGTGAATAGCCAGCTTCTTCAGCAATGACCTTGTGTGTCTGATTGTCTCCTGGACATCAGTCCAGTTCTACTGACACGGAGTGAGAGACTCAGAAAACCTCAGCAGGTGTTCGGCGTTCATCTGTGACATCACAAGTTTCCACTCATAACCTTTTTTCACAGTATTCTGATTTTCTGAAAGAGAATTTTGGGATTTTCTTTATCTGTAAGCCACAATCATCAAAACTCCAAGAATCAAGTAATGTCACTCTGAGTGATGATTCTATGTAATATATGAGATTCACTTTGAAATGATCAAGAAATATTGCAATTTTATGCAAAAAGTAGGATGAATGAGTATTACACTACAGAAGAATATGCTCCACAACAGAAATATATATATTAAAAAAAGTTTTGAGTATTTTGTGGTCAGAACCAAGATACTGCGGGAAACACCAGAAGTCGTCCAGCTGCCTTCAGTTCAAGTACTGAATAATCATATCGTATCAAGACTAAAAAACTGAATTGATGTTCATAGTTCAGCTACAAATTTATTTTGTTCTCCTACATCTATTTTCTCTTAATTCAGAAATAATGAAGAAAAGCATGTTTAATCACGTGTTTAATGAGTCATTATGCAGCATCTGTTACCTGGAGGAGGTCTGGTTACTTCATTCAAGATCTTTTTCTATTCATTGCTGCAGATGGATCACATTTCTCTAAAAATGGAAAAGGAAACTATGACTGAATGTGTAAATTTATGACAAAATATGATTTTAAGAAGTAGCAAAAGCCCTACATAGATGAGTGTTTTCAGTCAGCAGCGTTTGGAGTCATGGAGAGATCAAGCAGAGACACTTTGTGGTCAAACTAATGGTCTTTATTAGAAATCTGAATAACAAAGGTTTCCACTCCTGAAGGGATTTCTGGCAGCCATCTTTGTGAAACTCTTGCACACTTCAGGAAGCTCATTGTTTTTGGGTTTTTTTTATTTTATTTTTTTTTTTACATCCATAAAAAAAAAAACTTGATTTGTACCAGACTTGATGAAGAGACTGTAAGCAGGGTGAAAGGTGACTGCTGACACCTACAGTCAGTCTGGATTATGTGGAATTTATTTCATTCACTGCAGGAAGGAAGTTCTGCTTCTTTCAAAGTATGAGCCTGAGCTACTCAGCAGAGCGTCCATGGTGGAGAACAGAGACATAGTAAAGAAAGAGAGAAGCTGGATTTTGCTCTCAGTTCAGGGTTCTGGTTTTTATGAAGAGGGGGAGCTGGTACCAGGCGGGGTCTGATCTGGGGAAGCAGACTCCGGCTGTGGGGAGGGACTGGCTGCTGCTGCTGATGGTTCCTTCTGTACCAGCTCCGGTTCATCCTGGCCTGCCTGCGGGGGATGCACCAGAACCCGGTCAATCAGTCCAAAGTCCTGAGCCTCCATGGGGCTCATGTAACGGTCCCTCTCCATCACACTCTCTGAAAGGTGGAAAGAAAACAGCCTCTGTTTACCACCGGTCAGTTCAGATCAGCCCAGTGAAAATCTCAACTCAAATCTCTTCCCCTAAACACCTTTATTTCTTCAGGTTCACATCTTCACTACGTCTCACTAACTTACCTATGGTGTCCAGCGGCTGGCCTGTGTGCTTAGCGTAGATGTTGTTTATCTGTCTCTTCAACTTCAGGATTTCCTCAGCCTGAATGGCGATGTCTGTGGCCTGGCCCTGAAGACACAGCACTCTGTTAGCTCCATCTCTACTCTAGGTGTCAACTTTCCAGATCTTAGCTCTGAGGGGTCTGAACTAGCCTGCTTACCCTGGCCCCACCTGAAGGCTGGTGCACCATGATGCGGGCGTTGGGCAGCGAATGCCTCATGCCAGTCGTGCCTGCAGCCAGGAGCAGGCTGCCCATGCTGGCTGCCTGACCGACGCACCAGGTGGAGATGGGATTAAGGATATACTGCATAGTGTCATAAATGGCCAGCCCTGCTGTCACCACCCCGCCTGGACAGAAGAGGGAATATAAGTCAAGATTCAGGACTGAGTAGGAAATCCTTCAATGCAAAAACATTCAGAGGAATGTGAGCAGTTAAAAATGAAGGTAGACGCTGCTGAATAACAGTAGCAATAAGTTTTAATGAATGCATGTCATTAATGTCAACATGAACTAACAGTGGAGCTAACAATGAGCTAACAGAAGAGCTCACTGTGAGTTAACAGTGAGCTAATATTGAGCTCCTACCTGGACTGTTGATGTACATGTGGATGGGCTTGTTGTTGCTTTCTGACTGGAGGAAAAGCAGCTGGGCGATGACCAGGCTGGCTATGTTGTCATCAATCTGAGCGATATAAAAAGACACTTGATAACAAATTCCTCTGAAAATGTCTTCATATTTTCACCATTACCATAACACTTACAGGACCCATCACACAAATGATTCGTTCTCTCAGGAGGCGAGAGTAGATGTCGTACGCCCGTTCTCCTCTGCCCTAAAACACAGTTGTGCTTTTAATGACTTTATCATTGCAACATGTTCAACAAACTATTCTGGTTATGCAAATTCAGTCAATAAATATAAAAAAACATTTACATAAAATCCCCCAAACACATTTCAACACACGGACTGAAAACGAGGCCAAGTCAAAGTCAAGAGAAATGCTGCAGTGAGATCTTCAGTGTCTAAACCCCACAGTGAAGACCACCGAGTGGTGCATTGTGGGTAATGTTTGGTCAGGCTACTCACTGTCTGCTCCACCACTATAGGGATGAGAGGACTCCTCCACACCGGACTGTGGTGGAAAGACCTGCTGACCTTCACAGTCAGACCCCCGATGTTCAACACCCTCTATCAGACAGAAAACAAGTTTTCATCTTAAGATTTAGATTAAAAATATTCACCTCAACCAATATGTTTGTTTCAGAAAGGAAAGAAATGAGACAGACATCTTTAAAAATAATTCCTCAATGTAAAAGAAAAATCCATCTGGAAAACAGTAATTTACCTGTTTGCATCTTCTAGTTGCAAACAGTCTTTTCAATAGAAAAGTCCTTATTACAACATTTAAACCCTTCTTATAACCTAGCAGCTGTACTGAGTTTCCTCTACTATTCTGATTATGTTTGAGGATTAAGTCGGGCTTTGGCTAGGCCAATCAAAGGCTACTTTAAACTCGACCTGCCAGGGGTCTGGACTATTTTGGGCTTATAAACATCATGTGATGTTTGTGGCTCTAAGTCAAGTTTAGTTATCTGAACAATGCACAAAAATGGAAGAAAGGTTGCAGACCCCTGAACATTTTATTTAGTAAAGAAAGCCACTTCATTTCCTGGAAAGTCAACATAGAGCAGCCACAGAAGATAAAGAGCAGATTGAAGCTGTTTGATATCGATGGTTGGATGAAAGCAAGATACGAATGCTGGATTTTGATTGGTCAAGCCGATATTTCTGCATCTCCCATCATCTGGTGCTGCAGGTGGAGGGAGATGTAGAGGCGGACATTTTCTCTTTCCATCAGTCGAAAGTAATTTGTACATCATTTTTTTGTGATGATAATGAAAGTTTGATCATCTCAGTGTAGCAAGCCGGTAAAAACTACAACAAAACATTACATTCTGACGAATTAATTCATTTAGAAGTGGATGTTTAACTAATGTGAAATTACAGCAGATAGATGGGCATGAGACCAGCCAGCCTGATCCTTCACACAGTTGAAAAACCATTTGAAAAAACAATTTATTCATATTATTTTTCTGGCAAATGCTTTTGGTTTCTGATTTAACAATTCACATTAGAAGTGTTAAACAGAAGCAATTCTGATTTAACACTCAGATTAATCACACAGAAATATAAATGGTTACATCATATTAACAATTCAAAGTCATGACGAGTTTTCAGAAACTAAACCAGAGCTGAGACAAAACACGGACACAATGTTTTTCTACTTGATCTGAAAAAATAGAGCTTCCAGTTACTTTTTAGAGGTCTGCTAAGAAGTGAGAATATTCAGATTTTCAATAAAAACAGGTTTTGTAACATATTTCCTGACCGAACTTCAAACTGAACGTGATCAGGATGCAGCTATCCTGTTGTGCTGACAACAACCAGTGCAGAGCAGAAACAGCTGCTTCTGCTGCTCGGCTGACACTTATGGACAGGACTGACAGCGGCTGGCTGGGCTGCCTCCTTAAAACAGCGGCTGGGCTGCCTCCTTAAAACAGCGGCTGGGCTGCCTCCTTAAAACAGCGGCTGGGCTGCCTCCTTAAAACAGCGGCCATGCTGCCATGAAGCAGCAAAACACAGCAAGCAAGAAGTTGGCGTGAACCGCGTTCAGTGACGCAGCTGAACCCGACAGACTGCTGGAACACAAACTGGGTTCTGTACTCACTCGTAACAACATTCTGGAAGTGTTTTCCAGCTGGAGCCCCCTCTGCCTGACCCTGCTGCACCGGAACCTATTCTAACTCGACCTTTGGCAAGCTCTGTCATCATTTCCGTCTTTTACAGTGTCGCCTTGTCGCCACCGTGTGGTGAGAGTAGATTCAGTCACGGCGGGTGGCCTTTCTTTCTTTCTCTCTCTGTCTCTCTCTCTCTCTCTCTCTCTCTCTCTCTCTGTGTCTCTCTCTCTCTCTTTTTCTCTCTCTGGTTTCCTTTTTATTTTAGAGTTTTACAGAGGACGACTCTTCAGCATAAGCAAAGTTCATTTTGAGTGAGAACTAATCTGAGAAATGCACCAAAACATGAGCAGAATAATATTTCTTTATTGTAGATTTTAGAAAACTTGAATTTGCAGAAAATGTAATATTCTTGTCTGCTAGAAATCAAATATTATGAACACATGTTAATGAATTGAGTTGCATTTTTACCAAATGGTTCTTTTGTGGACTTGAGTAATTTCTTGTGTAGCAAATTTTTACTTTGACTTGAGCAAAAATATGTTGAAGTTGTGCAAATCATGCGGTTTGCTCTCCTCTCCTCCGGATTGAGCTGTAACTGCTGTGGAGCTCATCAGACTTTTGTGATGGGGGCAAAACATCTTTCCTCGTTGGACTATCTTATCATTCTGACCTACAGTGCCTGTCAAACGTATCCACCTTCTCGGATTTTTTACCTTTTCTTTTTTAACCAATCATTTGTAATAAAACTTAACAAGAAAAATCTTTAATGATGAATTGAAAGCAGATTAATTTAATTACATGAAAATATAAAACAGAAATGATTGTGCTTATGCTGATTGCACAAGTAGTCACCCCCCTGACCCTCACCTGGGGCAGTTTTTACTTAATGCACCTCTGCATGCAGTTACAAGATAACATCTGCTTTTCACCAACACCATGTGTGTAGAAGACAACAAACAAAAGAACAAACAAACAGATGAGAAAGTATTTCATACAGACCAGGAAGTTTGGTTCATAATTTAATGTTTTGCTTTCTTGACCAAAAAAAGTGTGTCAAAAGTCAAATATTTAATTTTTAAAAAATATTTATTTTTAAAAAAAATATTTAATTTTTAAAGTGTTTAAAGGTGATTTTGAGGAAAATAATTCAATCATGTTTGTAATAGTGTAAAATGAACTCAATAAGGCTGCAGCACACTCCCAGTTAGCTAATATAGGCTAAAGACCACACAGAAATGAAGGATTTTCAGCAATTGCTCTCATCCCAGTGGCATTATTTCATGGCTATAGTTAAGTTGGCAGCTAATTAAAAAAAGATCCATCCATTTTCTTTTTTTTTTCTCATGTTATCATGTCATGAGACACATAAGATAACCTTATAACTTTCTAAAAAGTAATCTTAATAAGAAATACATTTTTATTTCATATGAATAGAGTTAAAGTATTACATTTAGCAATGAATTGCTTATATAAATACATGAAGTCATTGATCATGTAATTTAGAAGGGGACAGCCTTAAATGTAAACTTTTACACACGATGTCGGTTTTATTTTGAAAAATTCTACCGGAAGTTCCACAGCTCTCCGACAGTTAAGGATTGGCTCATATGGGTACAGTTGCAAAGTCGCTGTAACTTTCTGTGTTTCTTGAACGCAGTTATGTCGAACAACAGCGCGGCCAACAGCAGTCTAGTCATCGCCCAGAAAGCGGTGAAGCAGCTGCGGCTGGAAGCGAGCGTCCGGCGGATAAAGGTAAGAAAGTCCCGCTCAGGACTTGTCTGTGCGCGTGACTCCCGCTCTGGAGCGCATCCTCAGCGAACTTCGGTGCGCGTGATGCTTGTTATTAATCTGGGGACATTTAATATCAGCGTAACTGGCTTTTTAACGTAATTTTACTATAAGTTTTAGTTCCGTCTTAAAACTTATTTTATGCCATTTTAAATGTGTGGATGCGGTGGATGGATGTTTGTGTTTATATTTAAAAGGAGATGGAATATAACACAAATACTTTTCTGTCACCGAGTCGAACTTCCCACGTCTGCGTTCAAAATAACATCTAATTATTTACATTGCAAAGTAATGGGAAAGCGGTATTACTGTATTATTTGTAGGAAATGGCTGCTGCAGACAGCTTCCTCTGGGAATTGAGCACAGTGATAGCTTTGTTGATTGTGCTGCTGTGTGACTGCTGGGATTGTTGGCGGGATACTTATTTTAGAACAGGGGGCAGGCTTGCTTTAACTATGTGTCCCAAAGAGGAGGGTGGAAAGTGAGGGTGAAAAAACAAAAATAAATTACAAGCATCAGTTTGTCTGAAAGTTAAGTTGCAGTCCGAATAGAAACTATACGCTGGAGACATTGAATTGAAGCAAATACAATAAATTCTCGTTGACAAGAGAACTAATACAAAAGTATTATCAGCAAACGTGTGTGGCATAACAGAAAATAAAATGGACCCCATCAGTACAGTATCCAGGACTGTGTAACAGTTTGTGGAACTGCATCAACACCTCATCACTGAATGAGCTGCTTTGGCTGAGAGGGTATTGCATACATAATTGAGGAAATCCTAATTATTGAACAGTGATAACAAAATCACAGTTATGTAATGAAGTGGCAATGCCAGCTATGATTTTACTTCAACTAAAGAGTGTACAGCAAAACAAACAAATAATAATAAAAAAAGGCTGATTGGTCATGGTGCAGTTTGATGATGTCACACCTCGCAACAAGAATTTGACATTTTCAACAATTTCTAATCTAACAATAATTTCAAATTCAAGTAAGCTGCTTTACTTTGAGGCTTTTATTAGGGCGGGTCATTTTTGACCCGTAGGACACACAGGGAGTAAACAGAATGTTATGATCGCACAAGGGTTAAATCAAATTCAACTTTTCATGTGTCCAGGTAATTTCCTGACCCACAACCAGAATCGAATCATAACAGGATTCAATGTGAACAAACAAAACAAAAGAGGAAGAAAGGAGAGGTCAGAAGAACAGTAACAGACTAACCTTAACAAAAGTCAGAATGACTTAAAGATTCCAGAGTACAGAGCAGATTTTGAGGAGCAAAATGTATGCAGAGGGGACGAAGTTCAGCAAGGGTTTATCTTCCAGGAGTAGGTCCAAATGGTTCCTCAACAGGGTGTGGAGAGCAGGAAGCAGGGGACAGCAGAGCTGCAATGGACCACCGTAGAATGGGTGAACAAGGAGATCTGTCCTGAAGAGAAAGCAACAAAACTTCACCCAATGAGGCGCAAACACCAGGAAGCAACTGAAGCTAGGAAGCTGGAAGCTCAGATAAACTTAGGTGAAAATATGGTGCTTGATTCTACTAGAAGAGCTGATCATCAGGTAAAGTTAGGTCATTCAACAGATCCTAAAATCCCCACAGTTAGAAGAGATAATTACAGGCCGATGTGGAATCTGCAGCAGGACAGCCACACCCTCCAGCAGAGATCCTCTGTTCACTCATATTCACTCTATTCTGTCCATTTGATGAAATGATTTGCTGAGAGCATTTAAAGGTTCTTATTGGGCAAAGATATCAGTCAGGGCAAAGATTCATCAAAAGACAGAGAAGAAAAGAATAAAGAACAGGAGCAGATCTGAAACTGATGAAAAGGCACGAAGAAAATGAAAGAAGCTGCAGAAATGCTTAGTGATTACTGGTTGTGTTTTACATGCAACCGCAATCACCTGCTGTGTTTTTCTCAATGTCCGGTTCAGTTAAAGAGTTACAAAACCACAGACCAGCCAGGCTGAAATCCCCACAAAACTTAGTGATAGATATTCTTCATGAATGTACGTGGAAACCAAAGTTCAACTGTTTTTGACCTTAATTGTAAAAAATCTCTTTGGCACTGAAGTAATAAGTTAAAAAAAATTATTGCAAACACTCAGGTTTGCAGTATACAGTGTATTTTTGAAAGCTGAAATGAAGAGGAATTTTCTTTTAGCGCTCCATTAACCCACTGACCTCTGATAAAACCTAAGCCTTTTAGAAGACCTGTAGGATGACCTGGACAGGACTGGACAGGACAGGACAGGACTGTCCACCTGCAGCAGAAACAGAGCTGGAGCTTGTTAGCTATGAAGACAAACACATGTTCCCAACTCAAGTGCTGCGCGATGAAAGATGTATTTAAGAAGACTGGAGACTGTATGTAATTTAAATGATGCTTCAACAAATTATTAATCTTGGTTGATGCTGGACAATAGGGCTGAAAAATGTGTCAAGATAAAAGCATTTCATGTCAGTCCATATCGAGAATTATCAACAACAGTCTTAACTCCTGCCAAATTACAGGTATGACAGTTTCTGTTTTATCCACAGTTTTCACTCCACTCTGTTTTGTATTTTCAAGCAGTTATTAAGGGCAGCAACCAAAGAGTGATGAGTTGATGCCACCAGCCTTGATTAGCTGCTGTGAAAAGTTGAGCGGTGAAAGCCTTTCCTCTGCCTACATCCTCCAGAATGCTGTGTGATTCTGGATTGGAGTTCAGTGAATATTCTACATATTGGATATTAAATATTTTGTCTATTGATATTGGTCACGTACCTATGGTCATATATAGTAAGTTATTTATTGTAGTTTTAGTGTAAGGGGACTAAAGTTTTTTATGTCATGGCATCTTTTTTTCTTGTTCAGCTGACTTGTCCCAAGTATAATGTAAATGAGTATTGCTTTGATGAGGCTCTTTTGTCAGATTAAAAGTACTTTTTGAAAGTGACATTTAAGCAGGTACTCAACTTACTTTCCATTAAGGCCACAATATGAAAAGATTTATGATGTACCTGATGTACAATTCTTACCTTAGCAGAAAATCATGTTAATTAACAGAAATAAAGACTCAGAAACATCAGTCTCAGCAGAATTCATTTATACAATGTGTGAAATGGATTACTGAAATCAATTAACTTTAATTAATATTCTAATTTATTGACAATACATCACACTGAAGTTGGGCAAAGCATTCAGTTGATTTATTTTGGGCTCATTTTCTGACTGAAAATTCCTGGAGTTTTAACAAGCTGACGATTTATCTTCATGAACCCGGCTGAGGCGCTAGTGGGGGTTCTGTCCCACACTGGGTCCGTTTTAGTCACACATTCTTACCACCTGAGTTGATATTAATAATCAACAAACAGTCCTCTCTTGTGTTTTCTGTATTGTTTAGGTTTCTCAGGCAGCTACAGAACTGAAGACCTTCTGTTTGCAAAACGCTCACAAAGACCCTCTGCTGACCGGGGTTCCCTCCAGTGATAACCCATTCAGGCCTCCCAAGTCATGTGTTCTGCTTTGAGGTGTGTGTGTGTGTGTGTGTGTGTGTGTGTGTGTGTGTGTGTGTGTGTGTGTGTGTGTGTGTGTGTGTGTGTGTGTGTGTGTGTGGTGCTCTTTTACACAAAGAAATATTATTCACACTCTTCTTAAATGTCTTGTTTTCTTCTCACATGATGTTATTTGATACTTGGTTCACATCTTCTTTCCCTAAACATCTCAATTGAAAATGTACTTCCTAAAAGTCGAATAAAAATGACCAACATGAGCTTGGGGATTCTATCCAGGGCTTTTTCACAGGTTTTGTTTTCTGTTTACTGTTACATGGAGATGTCATCTCTGACAAACAATGTCATCCAGAATGGGATGACATGAAACATTTTATTCTAGAACAGCAGCAGATCTTTTGACAGTTTTAGAGGGCTCTTTTTGTGTGTCTTTGGAGATAACTTCATATAAATGTCAATTTGTCTTTTATCTGTAGGGCGAAGGAGAGTGGAACAACCAAACAGTTTCCTGTGGATTTTCACAAAGTTGAAGACAAAGAAGACGACCCCACTGCTTGCAGCTGGTTTTCAGAAGGACTTTCTGACCACAAAATAATTTTGAAGTGAAGAGAAACATAATCCCCAAAATCCTTTGCATTTCCAAAGCTTTTCCAGAATGAATCTAAAGTTAAATGTTGGATGAGTAGGCTCTGCTGCTATAAGAGTCTGAGACGTAAAATACAATATTTCGACATCTTAGAATTTTTTAATTCACTTTGTGCCTTTATTGTTCAGCAATCGCTACTTTAGTAGCATTTAAAGTACAGCGACAAATGTTTCTTTTCCTATTCAAAGTTCTCAGTAATTTAATTCCACCTGTTAATAAAAGAGTTTGACATGCATTTAGCCAAACAAATGTTTTCTGATTTATTGTAAGTTTTACAGATTTGTCTCTATGGAAAAATATATTTTGATCACTAATTGTCTGTTGTATTTTAACTGATTTTTAAGTGGTTCTCTGCAGTTGTAACATACTCATTCACTAACTTATAAAGTGCTTTGAAACAAAAATGCATAACTATAAAATTGTTACAACACTCACTAAGATCACGCAGGAAAAAATGTTAATAATGTTTCTACTATCAACTAAGTAATAATATTTGTCAATCATCACAAAATGTCAAATTGTCATGTTTTTAGGTGCAATGCCACCTGATAACTTTGAACTTGAACTGCAGATTCACAATGAAACAGTCTGCTGTGTCTGTCTGACCTGTTTCCATTATCAGCAGGAAAATGGAAACAGGTCAGAGTTGGTGGGTGATGAAGCTAAATACAAGGCAATGCTGGAAGAAAACCAGCTGACACTGCAAGCTGCTTCACACTGGGCCAGAGAATCATCTTCCAGCAGAATAACAACTCCAAATTTACAACCAGAGCTACAATAAAACGATTTAAATCAAAGCATATCCATATGTTAGAATTGGACAGTCAAAGACTAGACCTAAATACAATTGTTTACAGACATTCCACCTAACATGGCTGAGCTTGAAACATTTTGCATGCAATTATCAATTTCTGTCCCAGATGTATGATGCTGTTACAGATATACAATAAAAGAATATTTGCAAAAAAATGCAGTTCTACAAAATATTGAGTTACAAATAAAAAATACACACTGCGTTTTTCAGACCTGAATTTGTGAAGCATTTTGAAAACGTATATCCTTTTTGTTCCACTTAGCCATTATACATTGTGTTTAATGAATTATAAAGACTGGCTGTAAAGAGATCAAATGTGAAGCATTTATTGGAAAGACACTGTTTAATACCGTTTTTTATGAATAAGCAAATCTCAATATATGAAAAAAGTACCTATAGATTTACTCTTGTAAATGTTGCTGAAATGGTTTCATTTTAATTTAGTATTAAATGTTAAAGTAGTGACTGAAAAGAAATATTCGCTTGGTTACTTGTGTTTGTGTGCTACCATGACAAGCCCGGTAGGAGGCGCTGTTGAAGCAGCTCTTCGGATTGATGGCTGTCCTGCCTCCAGTAGAGAGCACTGCTTGGTTGGACGTGAGCTCCGTCGATTTGCCTCTACTTCCAGATCGAAGATGGCGGTCTCTGTGTTCCGCGGCGTGCGGCTGCTCTCTATCGGAGACGCGAATGGAGACATACAGCGACATTCAGAGCAGCAGCCGCTGCGGCTAGAAGTTAAGACCTCACAAGATGCTGCCCTCATCAATCTCTCCAATGGTGGGTTTGACTGTTTATTTCTAACAACTGCTCTGTGGACGGTCGGCCTGATTGAACTGCTAATGCTCAGTGCTAATGTGGCCAGCAGTAGCTTTAGCCAACAAGGAGCTGTTCCATCTTGAGACCACCTCGTTTCCCTTTACTTGTCACGAGGGAACCAAAGAAGACTAAATATTTTGTAGCTTATGTGGAATTCTGAAGCCTGAACGCATTGGGTTTAGGTAGCATACAGTGAACTTCACTGCTTGGAAAAACCCGGTCAAAAACATGTAGAGTAGTTTTAACGGTAAGCACGGTTGCTAAATAACGTGAACTAAACAATACCACTAGCCTACATTTGACAGTGACGTGACAAGCTTACATGGTTGCACCCATTTAACACCTTTGGTTTAATTTATTTATTTATTTATTTATATTTTGTCGTGATAATATAAGCAGTGTTTTTATAAGTCAGCAGGAATCGGTTTTGTCCCCGTGGGAGCCGGGTAGATAGGAGAGTGCTTAGCTTGAATTAGCCGCTTTGAATTGATTCGCAGTAGAGACGTGGAGGCATCACTTCTGACCCGCCACTGTGCACTTCTGTCCGGGCGGCGCTTCACACTGCGTGGCCTTTATCGAACCATGGATTTAATGGGCCATCGAAACTTTTTAGAAGTAGCAGTTTTACGTAAAAGCTGTTGAGGCATATTTGGTAGCGTAGCCACACCGGGCCCTCATTATTTATGCATTCATCTTTGTTCTCATTGGAACAATGGCTTCGTCCCCTTCCCCGCCACCTCATGTGTGCCGTGAAGGCAGCATCCGAGCAGCTCTGCACATTTTCCCACTGAATGTAATTCCCCTATTAAAAACAGCAACATACTGTGGCTGACTTAAGTTTACGGTTATGCAAGAAAAAAAGCATTCATTATTATCATTATTATTATTATTATTATTATGGCGAAAGCCAACGTCAAGATAGCTGTAGAAATAGACTTAAGATATTGGAGTCGGTCAGTTTCAAATACAATACAAAAGTAAAGGGAATATGATCTGGAGTATGAAGGTTTTGATATGGGGGGAGAACATTGAAACCTGTTTGATTTCCATTAAAATGAGACACACAATAAATTTGTGGTGCAAAAAGTTGAAAATCAATCCATCAATATGAATGTTTATATTTGGTAGATTTGATTAAATAACTGCTTTTCTGTTTCTTGTGGATACACTATCAATTATACAACATTACTGAATAATCTTACCAAAATAAATACTGCCAAGTTTAATTTCTAGCAAAACTGAAGTAGTTGCAAAACCTGCTCCTGTTTACATTTAATGTGTGAAAGTTTAGCTTTTTACAACAATTACATGGGATCCCTGATAGCAGGGTATTTCCTTTGTCTGAATTCTGCACAATCCCTGTTTTTAATACTGTGTGCAGGACCGTTCGAGTTGTTTTCAGTTGTTTCTGGATAGTTTTTCATCGATAACTGCATTCGTTGTTTGATTTCTAAAATTTCACATAAGTTTTGTATTCCAGCTAAAAAAAGATTTGCAAATTGACAGTGATGAGTGAGCTGACGGTGAGCTGCTTAGCAAGCGGACGCAGGAGGGAGCAACCTGCACCTGACTCACAACACACACATCCTGACTTGCTTCTGGTGTTTGGAAGACAAATGATTTCGATTAGAAATCACATGAACACACACACACACACATACAACAAAGGCATATTTCCAAGTAGGCCTGTCACCATAACATATTTTGCTGAATGATAAGTTGTCCTAGAAGTTATTGCGATAAACGATAATATTGTTTTGTGGCCATTTTCAAGCCATTCTTACAGATCAATAAACTTTAAATTCTGATGAACATTTAGCACAGAAACAGAAAGACATTTTAAATATCCAATATTAATAAACAAAACAGAAACAGCAAATAAAATGGATACTGAAGTCTCTATAAACAGAACTCCTCCAAAATTAGGGCTAGTTGAGACCAAGTCACCAGACTGAAAACTTTCATCATCCATTTTTTGGTAGAAAATGAGAAACTATAAATTCTGCAAGTGAAAATTGTTTGTTTTTAATTTATCATGCAGTTAATGGATTTATTGATTATTGTGACAGGCCTGTTTCCAAGTCTTGCTGCTTCACTTGGCTTTTGCTGTTCAGCAAAAAAAAAAAAAGGAATTTCCCCATTACATATTTAATCTGTACTTCCTTTTCTGTTGCATGTGAATGTTTCAGATCAACATGTTATAATGACAACATGAACAGTTTCCGAGTGAGAATTTTATGTATTAAGGGAAAAAAGGCATCCAAAGACACCTGGCCAAACATAAACCAAACAACTTGCTGTCAGCTCTTGGTGAGAATGTCTGCCAAGCATCACTCTTCTTTTCATAATTGTTTTAATTTGGCCACATTGGAGGTTTCCCAGTAGGAACAACTTGTTTAAAACGGTATGTAACTATTACAAATATATGGTTTGACATGTTTGTCAAAATTGTCACCATGTTGAGACAGTGTCGAGAACAGAATCATTGGTTCCATCTGTTACCTGAAGCAGTAGCCCCAGATCATCATATGACCACCACCGTGTTTCACTGTTGGTGTTCCTTTTTCTGAAATGTTTTCTTGTTTTATGGCCTATGAGAGGGAATGCTAACATTCCAAAATGTTCAACATCTGGCTTGTTAGTCTTCAGGATATATTCCCAAACTGGGCCGTCGCATTATTTTGGGTCTGGAGTTTTTGGCCATTTTGGAAGCCATATTGCCCCAATCTCTCTTCCTTATTGAATGATGGTGAACTTTGACCTTAAATAATGTGAGGCCTGCAGAGCTTCAGATGGTGATCCTGGTTGTTTTAGTTGTTAATGTGTTGCCTGCTGTTTGTGGACGATTCGCCTCTGTTCCATGTTCTCTGGCAGAGATGCTTTTCTCCCTGTTTCCACATTAATAGATGTTAATCATTTTGTTTCCTCATTGACGTTCTTTGGATCTGCACATAGTATGGTGGTTCAAAATCTTGTGACCAACTTCATGTTGTCAAGTTTTTGGTTTTTTTAAGTGCTTTCTTCAGTCTGTAGATCTGACAGTACTTAAAATGAGGTTATGGCTAATAGAATGGAACCAAAAAAATGTTTTTATCACACCTAATTTATGATTTCACAAAAAGTATGTTTCTACATTGGACCAGATTGGAATCATCAAACAATGAAGAATGTTTGAAGTTTGCTGTGTTTTCTAAGGTTACCTTTGTCAGCTGTTAAAATGAATTTGACCTGAAAACATTGAAGAGTGTGAAACTCCAGATCTCTTGGACTGCCAGCGTTTTGTCCAAAGGTCTGCTGACGCTGGACAGCACAGTCAAAACAATAACACAGTGATGTGTGTTTCTCAATGCAGCAAACCTTCACAATAAGAGTCCTCTCCAGAAATAAGGCAGTGTGAACTTCCTATGACTTTACACATAGCTGCGTTGCAGTGATTTGAATACTTCCTCCACAGGTTATTTTCAATGGTCAAAGAACAACCATTGAAAATAACCTTATCCTGCTTATTTAAATGTTAGCTGCCTTTTAAAGGAGTTGTGTTTTTCTCCTGAATGAGTCCATGTCTGGGGCTTTGGTACTCCAGAGGATACCCCTGACTCTAAGCACACATCGTCCTGCAGTGACTACAATTAGAGGGAGGGGGTTGGGACATGAACAAGGAGTGCAAGAGACACATATTTTTGTACCATTATAATCTTAACATGACGCTGCTATTTGACCGGAGCAGCTTCTACATTTGTGCCTTGAGGTAAAATGCAGACAGGACCAGGGCTGGGCGAAATAGACTTAAAGTTTTATCGAGACATTTGGTGGTAATGTTGAAACTGTTTAAAATGGTGGATTGACAAAATTGATTGGCTGAAAGTTAGGATTTTGTTTAGCAGTTTCACAGTAAATGCAGTGACGTCATAGCCAAAAAACTTGATGGGGAAAAGAGACCAATGAACAGACTGAGATATTTAAACCAAAAAAAATATGAAAATATCTATACAGAACTAAATGATAACAAATGTAATTTTTTTGCACTCATAGACATTAAAAGTACATAGAAAATGCTGTAAAGTTAAGCACCTTTAGGTATCAATTTTTAATAATTAATAATTGATACCTAATTAATAATTAACTGCCGGGGGCATTTCCAGATCAGCCCAACTCTGTACTGATGTTACCTCAATAAGACAGGCCTGACTTTTTCACATGTTGCTATTGTTTTAACTACAGATCTCTTCTTTGCTGCAAATAAAGGCAATATAATGTTCAATTTCTGATTTAGAAAGGGAACTAAATTATTTATTTGCATATTTTAATATATTTCTAACACTGTAAAAAAAGGTTTGTGATTAAATGAAAAATCTACAGAATGGCAATTTGTTGGATCAATTGATAAAATAATCTATTACTAAAATAATTGTTAGTTGTAGCCCTGAGAGTGATCCTTATGCTCCAATTAGTTTTGTATGTATTATTTGTTTAAACATAAAACTACTCAACATTCTGGCATAAAGCTGCTGAATTTTTTTCTTCCTTTGTTTGTAAATTTGACTCGTTAAAAGATTTTACTCTTTAACTTGAACAACTTGCTGCTGTATGCTAATGCTTTGTTTTTAGCTAGTTGTCTGCAGAGAACAGCTCTCTGCAGCCCAGCTGTCTCTGTGAAGCACAGTCAGACGCTATCTCTTCTCTAATGTCTTTAACAGCTTTGCTGGTAATAAACTGAGCATGGCTGAGGTCACCAGAAAAGGGAGCTTGTGGAAATGACCAAGTAAAAATAGCCAGTGTTGGTTTTGTTCAGGGCTGCTGGCCCAGTTACCAAGGTTCCATTTATTGTTGACGCTCTGATTTGTTTCAAAAGGAGAGCTTTGTAAGAAATATTCAAATGGAGGCGTCACTGAGTAATTGCTCTTCAAATTCATATTTAATAGGTTATGATTGACAGACAGACAGGCAGTTGAACATTGCTGTTTCCACATACTGGGCAGCCACCACAGTCTGAGCTCCAAACATGGTCGCAACTCTTCATCTTCTCTGCCGATTCACTCTTTTTAAGGTCTAATGTGAGTTACACATGAATATGTTCAATACACATATTCATCAGGTTGACATCGCCTTTCTTGCTCATTTTTTTTTTTGAAGAAATATTGAATCTAAAATACCAAATGTTTTGAATAAGTAACTTTTTTAAGCCACACTGTACCTAATTGTGATACATAATTGCTATTTGATCTTCTATGATGTGATAACAATAGTAGACAGCAGTCAGTTGAGAACATGGAACTCCTTCCTTCACCGTTTCTATGCAACCAATGCTTTAGCTCCCTGATTAATTTATGTTACAAAGTGTTGAATCGAGATTTATTCAACTGACATGTCACATTACTAACTTTATATAAAGAGTGTGTTACTGATTTTGTTGTTAATAATGTGGACCCCAGCTGGAGTAGCCGTTGTCGTGGCGATGGCTGATAAGGATCCTAGTAAACAAACAAACCAACTTCATGATTTGGTTTAATTCTGTCATCCAGAGGCCTCTGGCCTGTGATTACATCATTTGGATTCAGTTTTTCTCTTACATGCTGCTCAGTGTTGCTCTGCTGTAATAAACTCACAGGGCTAAAGACAGGATCATCTGAGCTCCTCCTTTCTACTTGATCTGCTGTAATGGTGCTTAGCAGCTGCTCTTACCCAGCAGCTCTCTATTAGCGACTGGATTAGCTCTGGCTCAGCCTGCTCAACAGCCTGGCTGCTTTAATGCCTGTAGGGGAATTTGCATATGGAAATGCAGGGTTTTTCCCAGGAAACCTGCTGAACCCAGTGTTAGGGGCGCTCTAGTAGCCCACCAATGTTAAGTTAAAAACACTTGGAGGTGCACGAGTCGGCATCATAACTTGGAAATGATAGTGTCAGCAGTCAAGGGGCACATACAGGATGGTGTATTTGATGTGCAACCCCTCATTCCCAGTTTGATGCATCAACTATAAACCTAGTTTACCTGTGATTGGTGTATAAAAAAACCAAATTAAAATAAACAAACCACGCTTAGCCTGGTGAAGGAGGAAGTAAAGCCTGGTGGTCTGCCAGGCTCATGATACACTCAGGGAAATATATTACAGAAAATATACTGTGAAAATTTCTGGATTGATTTTAGAAATGCATCTCGTCAGCCCGGTCAGAAATATGGTTCCATTTTATCTTAGAACGAAGAGTGTGACTGTTGAACAGTGAAGGAGCCTTGACGCTGAACGTCACTGAGTAAAGTAACACACACCTGCAGAGTTTTGGAAAAACTTGTTTTCATAACTCCAATGTGTATTAAACACATTCTGTCCCACACTGTTCCAAGAACAAGCTGCACCGATTCCACAACATAAAGTAGTGAATAATTGTGAAATGAAAGATTAATGTTTAGACATGTGTCAGAATGGTCCAGTCAAAGTTTAGGAATAAAATCAATTGAATCTGAAACCTCTACAGAGCTTGGTTTGATGACTTAGGTGAAATAGTTTAGCCAAAAAAAAAAAAAATGCAATTTGACCCTGTCCCATCACCTGGCAACAAAACCACCACCTCTTTCTTTCCAATGATGTTTTGCAAAAAAAAATAAAAAGTCTGTTTTGGCAAAAAAAAAAAAAAAAAAAGACTTTTGCTGGAAATAAATTGTCACAGACTTGAAATAAAAACTGCCACGCGATACACTTCACAGAGCAGTGACTCAGTAGGGCTGAATACCAACACATGCCACACTTTTCAGATATTTACTTGTAGCAAACTCTCAAAATGCCCCTCATTTTGCTTCCATGTGACAATCTGCAGCACTTTGTTTGCCTGTTCAAAATATGCCAGTGCAGTAGATTAAAGCTGGTCTGATAAAATGTGAAAGAGATGAAGGGTTTGAACGCTGTGAGGTGGTGTACAAAAATAAAAGTAAAATGTTTGTTTGAAACAATGTTAATGTTCTCGTTATATAACGACCCCAGGCTGCTCCACCTGCTGACTCATCATTTTGTGGAAAATCTGCATTGATCCTGTTGGAGCAGTTTTAAAGCCGGTCATTGTGACTCATCATCAGCCTGTGGGATGCCATTAATTGCTGAAATGGTCTCTCCCACTCAGACATTGTAAAGGCATCAATGTTCCCTCATCAGACTTTTGTTGTCCTGGTTTAGAAACAAATTTATTGGCTGATTTGTTTCTAACGCAGCGTTCTAAATTCACTGCATATCCTTGTGTGTCTGCAGGAGAGGAGACGAGTGTGTTCAAGTGTTCAGTTTCTCGTGACACAGAGTGCAGCCGCGTAGGGAAGCAGTCATTCATCATCACTCTGGGCTGCAACAGCGTGCTGCTGCAGTTCTCCTCGCCAGCAGGTAAAACCAGCACCACGAGACCATGCAGCCGCTGAGCTTCACCTGGCTGCAGACAAACATGATGCTGAATGAATGAGTTTGACAGGAAGCTCAGGTTAGCCCTGGTGACGTCAGTGTTTGTGCTCTGCTGCAGACTTTCAGTCCTTTTATAACCTTCTGAAGAACTGCCGGGGGCATGCTGGTGAGCACTCTGTCTTCAGTGAAAGAACAGAAGAGTCCTCTGCTGTACAGTATTTCCAGGTGAGGAAAACAAATGCACCCCAGATCTCTGAGGCCTTTAGGAATGAGGAAAGTATGAAAGTACTACCTAATGTTTTTTTTTCTGTTGGAGTATTTAGTGAACACTGTTCAGCCTCCAACTCACCTTTATTTTTAGTTTTTATCTCAGAATAGACCATCAGGACAAAGAGCCTCTCTCCATATTTCTCTACAGGACTTCTTTGTGCTCTTGAGAGATTTGAAAGCTAGAATTATGTATGGGATTATGTATCCCATTTGTTCTCACCATTAGAACAGATGGGATATGACATTAGGTCTTTAAATCAGTTTCCATCGCTCATGGTTAAAGGCACAGTATCATGTCAAATGGACCTTTTTGGACTTTACATCATATTCTCTCATCAAAAATATGCCTGGCATTTTGCCTTGGACTTTTTTTCATACAAGTTTGAGACATCCTATGAGCTCCAAGGCAACCATTTATCTGTTCAAAACATTTGGGTGACCCTAGCTCCACCTTCAAGACGCATCTGTTCTTCAGAACTGTAAATTCCAATTTTGTGAGCTTCCGACTCTCAGAGCAGCCTTTCTCCAAAACTCCCCCAGTCAGCTCCTTTAGACTAGCAAGCATCAATTAGCAAACACTTGTTGGAATTGCACATCTGCTGAGTTTATAATATGATCTCAGTGAAATGCTGGTATAAACATTAAAGGGTTAATAGAGGAGCCATGTTGAGATGATTTACTGAAGGTGGAATTTCAAAACGAGCAAGAGATTTTAAAAGAACAGATACCCAATTTCAAGGTAAGAAATTACAAAGTCAAATTACTTTTAAGTCAATGTGATAGATATAGCATTTGTTTAAGAACCTCAAGCTCTTCTTTAAGGTTTTAGGTCCAAGTGTTGGAAGGCTGAGTTTGCAAATCAGCCTGGGGCTAGAAAACCTTTGTACAAAACAACGGCTGCTTTGTTTGTAACACTGTTTAATGTGCTGTCCTTGATGGAATAAACTTGAATTTAATTTGTGTTTGCATGGAGCCAGTGAGCAGATGTTTTCTCACAGAGCATAAGAAACACTGCACTCTGGTGGCCAAACTCTGGTACAGCTGTATCTGTACATATGTGTTTAAATGCTCTGCTTTGGTTGCCAGCATCACTTTCTAAAATAAAATCTCAGATTTTTGTCATGCCAAATCCCATTTTAGATTCAGTATTTCAAAATAGATTACAAGTTGAATGAAAACTTCCTGTTCCTGTTTGGTGTTCTGGCAGTTCTACGGCTACCTCTCCCAGCAACAGAACATGATGCAGGACTATGTCCGGACGGGAACCTACCAGCGGGCCATTCTGCAGAACCACACAGACTTCAAAGACAAGGTAACCTCCGAGCCATCAGGTTCAGCTCTATGCAGCCAGCTCTTGGTAAGGGATAAAAATGAATCAATGAAACCTAAACAAGAAGCAAATTCTTGTTTGCTATGTTCTATTCATCAGTTCCTCCTTTAATGTCTGCTTTCTTTGGTGCACAAAAACTAGCCACATCATCTGTGTAAAACTAATGCCTTGACTTGTGGCTCCTCATGACCTTGAGTCTCCCTTGTGTTCTCCAGGTGGTTCTGGATGTGGGCTGTGGATCAGGAATCCTGTCATTCTTTGCGGCCCAGGCTGGAGCCAGGAAGGTGTATGCAGTGGAGGCCAGCACCATGGCTCAGCATGCTGAGGTGCGTACCTGTCTGTAGGAACTGTGACCGTTAACATGGTGCCCATGTTTGCTTGCACCTTGAGGAAAGACGATAAAGAAAACATAAAATTGATCTCTTTAGCACGGGAGCATAACAGCTTTTAGAACTTTTTAGAAAAACAAAAACTTTATTGAAGTTTTTGTACATTTATTGAAAGGAAGAAATCACATTCTAGAAATCTCTTCATTTTTTATTTTTTTTGCCTGTTGGTTCATCTATGTGATGACCAGTGACAATCAGAGTACAGCAGCCTGCATGTGGAGCCTCCTAACATTTTAAATGTCCCTTGATGCCACTCTGCACATTAAAACTACATTATGTAACAATAAAAACCATGTTTTCGATATATTTATTCAATCTGTCACCATGTTATAACATGAGACCGATAATCTGTGAAAAGATGGATCACCTCCACGTCCTCACAGAGCTGCTACTGCCAACTGAACAAATGCACTGATCAAAAACAACCAATCAGAGCCAGGAGGAGGGGCTTGGCGCTGTCAATCTGTCTCTTGTAATCGCTACTCACTGTGTAAATGGCGACGAAAGAATCTCTTGTTATCAGTGGCCATGCTGACCAGCTTTAACATTGATGACCGACTCTGTTGTGGTGTAGTATAGCAGAGAGCAAGACTTTGAGTAGTGCATACATGAGGTGATTGACAGCACTAAGACCCTCCTTCTAGATCTGTTTGTTTGTGACCAAGTTGTGTATTTCTGTAGTTAGTACTGGGAGAAGCAAGAGGAACTGGATATTTTGTCACAGATTATATCTTTCATAGCATGCTGTCATGACTAAGTGACAGTTTTAATAAATATGTCAAAAAAAGAACTTCTTATATTCTTTTATTTAATTTTTTTAATGAAAATAACCATGGCTTCTCCTCCAGCCCAGTGAACAGTCACTGGTTGCTCACTAGAAAAGGCCAACAACTCTCATCAGCTCTATAAAGTCATTTCAACAAAGTCATCCAACAAAACTGTCTCCCGTCTGCCTCTTGTATAAGTGGGTGATTAACAGGCTTCTGCAGCATTCAGAGGAGGTCAAGCAAGTCATTGGAATCAGGTGATTTGGGACAGACACACGTCTAAAAGAATCAGAGTTTTAGTCCCCGAGGTCTGGAAATGAGACATTGCTCTAAAGGGAGCGGCCATTAATTTAGCCGCTGGTGAATTTGTTAGGAATAATGCTGAAAGCCAGATTTCTCCTTCCTCTCTGAATAAATGTCCATAAATTAAAGATCAAATTGTTTTAAAATGTTCAATGTGAGATTATGATGCAGCTTTTTGCACATCTACTGGAGGGGTGCCAATGAATGTGTCTGGCACCGTCTGGTCTGATACTGTCAATGTTTTAGCCAGTTGGAAAAATGGTGGGACAAATGTGAATGTTTTAATTTGACCATGTTTTAAAGCTGCAGACTGAGGGGTAATCACAGACAGACTAATGTCTGTCAGTGGTATACAAACTGAATAAATTAAAGATTCACCAACCCAATAATAATATCTGTATCAGTTCCAATATTGAAAAAAATCCCGATTTGGTATCGGTGTTGATGTGTCCGATCTATAAGGACAGATCTATCCAGACTAGTTCTATGTTTTGTGCTCTGAGCGACGTCATGTATAATTATTATTTATTGGCTGTTCTTCTAATTGCACTGACTACAATTAGGAAAGTTGTTGTTTTTTCATGTTTGGCCAAGATTGGGAAGCTGTTGGTGTGTTTAAGTTGCTGTACTGGTGCAGAGTTATCAAAAACATTTGTAATGTTTTTGTTCACTAAAACATTTTTAAAAACATCTGTTTAAAAAATGTTTTAGGTCATTCTGTCGTTCTATATCTGCTTGGTATCGGCTGATACTAAGCCTCAAATATCGATATCAGAAGTGAAAAAAGTGGATCAGTGCGTTCCTAGAATAAGTAGAATAAGCTACATTATCACTTTTAAGTTCAGATCTGGTTTGGTCCCATTTTCTGTTTGGGTTCGCTGTCCTTCCACAGAGTACATTTAGAGGCAATCAGCAGCTACATAATGAACATGTTTGCTAGTATCATGTTGCTCTACTCAGTGGAGCCCAGCCATCCTGACTGATCCTCAGGGTGGGAACTATCTCCATGCTGCAGTGCTGTTTTTTCCCCCAACTTTTCCTGATCTCTGAGCTAACCAACTGCTTTCTGCCACAGTTCAATATTCCAAACACTGATTCCTCATTCTAAGCTGCCGCCTGCTGCCAGTTCTGCATCACGTCCCACCATAGTTTCTGTGTCAGTAGTTTGTCTTGTTTCCATTTTACCTGCCAGACTCTAAAGGTGAACCTGTGTTTTCAACTTTCTGACTGTTCTGCTCTACCGGACAGTTTCCAACATCATGTAAGACTGATGCCTGCAATGTTTGGTCACAGCCAGGCAGATGTGCTTCCCGTTTCTCCTCCTTTAGCTCACTTTTAGTGGATTACAAGATATAGGATCTAAACTGCCAATACCAGTCTAACTGTGAATACAAGGAACTACTTTTTCTGCTTTCCAGATGAACTTCGAGCTCCAATAATGAAGTGTTGATAATAAAATCAAAGAGATTTCTCAGTTTGTAGCGCTGTGTCTCTCTGCATTGCTGAACATCTACAGATCCATAACAGCTCTCAGCAATATGGTTCAGATGTCTTTATGAAGAACAGAAGACTGACAGCATGACTAAAGTCTTCAACTTTATACATTAGCACTTAGCTAAGGCTTTACTAGCTGTAGACTTCATTGTAAGTGTTCCCTGTAGAATCAGCCAAACGCTAACTAAAGATTTCTGGTGTCTCCTAATACATCATGTTCCCAGACAGGCAGACTGCACTCTGCTGGAGGATACAACTTCTCCTTCCTGTTATAAACTGCAGTAAGAGTCTGGATGAACAGCTGCTTCCTCTCTGGAAGCTCCACATTCTGACTTCATACTGACTCAGCAACAGCTGAGCTACCTTCACTCAGCAACAGCATCAACAGCACTGTAACAGCAGGAGGCTTGACTGTAATTAGTGATGGTTTGTTCACTGATCAGTTTTACTTCAACCAGCTGACCACCAGTCAGTTTGCAACAAAATGATTGTTTTAGTAATTGATCAAGATATTGATTAATTGGATTAAAAATATTGTCATATTCAGTAGATTTTTCATCAATAGCACTGAAATCTTTTTTTAATGCAATATTAGAAATACATTAACAAATAATGTTTTTAAATCATTTAAACAGAATTTTTTAATCTATGCTTGATCGTTTTAGCTTAGTTTGCAGCTAAATGGTAAAATTGTAAATGGACTGAACTTCTACAGTGCTTTTCCAGTCATTTTTTACCCCTCAAAGCTCTTTCTGCTAGAGTTGTGTTCACCCATTCACACTCACATTTTTACACTAATACACAGATCGGTAGGAAACTAATAAATACTTCTAGTACAGGACTTATTTGTTGGTTGTGGTTTAAATTAACTGATTAATTTTTGGATAGAAAAATGTTCATATAGAAGATTTTTTTATTTTTTGGGGGGGCAGTGGGGATTTGAACCAGGTGAAGGTAAAACTGCCACTTTAGGAGTTCTGGGTGGAAGAGATTTACAAAGAATGTTTTCTTAGATCCATAATCTATAAATTTTTTGTACAGTTTTGCAAGCAAATTGCATTTTTGGGTTTTTATACTCCAGTTAACAATTCATCTGTTTCTAAATTAGCTGACAATTATCCAATAATCGTTTCAGCCCAAGTCGCACTGATTCATTGCTGCATCGCTGCACTTTTCTAACCTTATACACACCTGTTCCATTTAGCATCCATCCTGGACAGAGCTGCAGGATCAGTTCTTACCAGGCCGTGTTTCCCTTGCAGGTGCTGGTAAACAGCAACCGCCTGAGTGAGCGGGTGGTGGTGATCCCCGGGAAGGTGGAGGAGGTGTCGCTGCCAGAGCAAGTGGACATCATCATCTCAGAGCCAATGGGCTACATGTTGTTCAACGAGCGCATGCTGGAGAGCTACCTGCACGCCAAGAAGTTCCTCAAACCCAACGGTGAGGAGGTCGAGGACTCTGGATGAAACACACGCTGTGACAGGTTCTAGATGTGTAGCTGTAGAGACAGCCTCTGTCTTTCTGACTTTCTGCTGCTGCTGTGTGTCGCAGGTAAAATGTTCCCCACCATCGGAGACGTGCACCTGGCTCCTTTCACAGATGAACAGCTCTACATGGAGCAGTTCACCAAGGCCAACTTCTGGTGAGGATGAGCAAGACGCAATTCAAAGGAGTTAGACAGATGGGTAAAACATTAGTTGCTTAACTAGAAAATTTCTGAAGAAATTTAAACGGGGCCTGCCAAAGTGTACCTGTCGGTTGGAACCCAGCGTTCTGATGCTAAAAATTAGCATCAGTGCTTAATAGCACTGATATAGCACTCAATAGCATGTTGAGTAAGATAGAGTTACTCAATTCAGTATGTTGAAATTGGTTATAAACTAAAATTAGCCAAAATGTTAATGTTAGTCTCAATGTTGTCAGTAGCATGTGGGGCATCTCAATGTAGCATATTGTCTTACATTGACTTCCTCCTCTCAGTATACTAAACATAGCAAATATATAAATAGCTAAAAATGCTTGTTCTAAGGAAAAGGCTATAGTTAAACTACTAGTGTGCTTGCAGTGCACTGCTAATGTTTGTGCTAATGTTAATGCCTTCTGATTTTTACTCTCGACACCAAATTAATAACAAGTAATATTATTTTTTGTAAAACATAAACTCTTGAAATACTGCTTATCTGCTTAGACACAAGAAATTTACGGTTGTTAAATTTTGTGCCACCAGGTTACCAGAAAACATGCTCATCTTTTAGCAACAGATTAACAACAAATATTGTTATTGTTCAAAAAACAAAGATTTCTTCTGCTCTTTTTTAAATACTACTTGTTTTACAGTACTTACTACTTAACAAGAATTGTGTAGTTGGTGAATTTTGCATAGAAGCGAATGTTTTTTTTTTTGTTTGTTTTTTTTGGTCATCGGTTAATACATTATATAAAACAGACACGAGTGTGAATCAGATTTATACTTCGTTACCAGAAAAAAACCCAACTCATCTCTTAACGCCCAGTTAATAACAAGTAGTATTATTGTTTATAAAACATAAGCTCTTTTGAAATACTGCTTATCTACTTGGATACAAGAAATTTACTGTTGTAAAATTTTGCAAAAGTAAAAATCAGATGTTTACTTCGTGGCACTTTGTTACCAGAAAACATGCTCTTCTCTTAGCAACAGATTAACAACAAATATTGTTATTGTTCAAAAAACATAAGCATTTTAGCTTTAATTTAGTCTTGTTTTGCAAGTGACCTGAGAGAAATATTGAGGCTTTCATTTTTCATTCTGAAACTTTCAATCGGCTTCATTTTAAAAGGCCTCACTAATCCCTTGAGTAACAGTGGTGTTAAAACAGTCATATAATGAAAAATGTCAAAGCTTTTATTTTGTTGGGGATGTGTTGCTCTTATTTTGACAGTCCAAAGTGGTTGTCATTTTAAGGGCATATGGAACTTACTTTCTTTGCTCTTTTGCCATCTTGTGTGTAGTAACTGTTCCTCTAGTAAGGTGTTGTCTCTGTTGTTCTAACTGGAAGCTCTGGCCTTCTCTGTAGGAACTGAGCGTTCTGCCATCTCAGTAGTTCTCTATTTCTCTGCTCTCTGTGTTCTATTGTTATGGTAATTAATCTTCTCTGTCATGTGAGAGTGAGACACACAGGGGCAGTCAAAATTTTATCTGTTTTGAGTCAAACTGTGTAGAATAATAGGTGCCTGCCATGCAATGCATGGATTCCTTGCTTTGCAAGGCATTTCAATGGCTCCATGCAATGTATGGCAGGCCCCAATATTTGTCAACCTAAATAATTTTACAGTCAGCATGTCTTTGCTTATAGAAAATATTAAGGTGGAAACAAATCTAATAGTTGGATTATAGATGCCATAAAATCAGGACACAATTTCTTATTTCCTCTTTTTACTCTGTCAGCATTTTTGAAGCGTCAGCTGCAGTGTTTGCTGCTGTTCCACTCAATAGGAAGCCCAAGATGCTGCTGTGTGTCTGAGTCTGTGGTAAGGCACTGGGTGAGCAGTTTCTAGACTGGATGCAGGTTATTCTACCAGTTCTGCTTCTGCTGTAGCTGCTTTTGAGACAAACTGCAGATAAAACTTAAAACTAATCACATCTCTCGTAATAGCAAGAAACATGAATTAAATGAACACAAAACATTTGCTTTAAATAGCAAATGTTTTGCTATTTAAAGGATTCCTTTAAGTCCAAAACACAGTGAACAACAATATTAGTTGTTTATGGCCGTCAGCTGCTTGGTGTGGCTCACTAAACCAGCAGGAAATGGCTGTGTTTTGAATACTTTAGCCTTTAGCCATATTTAGCTATGCTGCTGTTAGCTTTACAGAAATGGGACATTTTATAATGTTTTAGGTCTATATTATGCAATTAAATGGCAAGAAAGGGTAGAAAGTGCCCATAAAAAATAAACTCAATCGTACTGAACTATCTATGATTAAAACACTCATTGCCATAGAGTTCTAACAGCTTAAATTCTTGTTAGTTTTAGTATTTTCTCCACTGTTTATTCAAACAGAATATCAATCCATATTTGAAAATATAATTAAATACAGTTCCTGTGTAAAGTTTAGTTATATAAATCAGACTTCTTTGTGTGACTGGAGTCCTAATGAGGCAGATTACAGATGGCTGTGTTTGTTTGTGAGGTTTTGATTGCTGTCATACAGTTGCATGACATAGGAGTAATAAATTCTTCTTTAGATCACGTAATGCCATCACAATAATATCACAAAATATTATGATGAAATTTTAAGTCTACCCTTACTCCAAAAATGGTAAAGATACACAATGGAAGCTCCTGCTTCGATCCTCCTAAGCTGCAACGTCTGCAAACCAACTGTGAATATGGTTCCAGAGAACAGAGAAATGCGTCAAACAACATAGTTTTAGATGAAAGTTTTTGTTGGCTGTTGAAATGAGTAATCTTGTCCCCTCAGGTATCAGCCCTCGTTCCACGGCGTTGACCTCTCTGCTCTGCGGGGAGCTGCAGTGGATGAGTACTTCCGCCAGCCCATTGTGGTGCGTAACTCACTGATTAACACAGAGTGCAGGTCTGGTTTGGTGGTTTGGAGGAAATGGCAGCAGAGCTCGGAGCTGGACTCTTGTGTGATCTGGACCCTGTGATGTTACCCCCTGCAGGACACGTTTGATATCCGCATCCTGATGGCCAAGTCAGTGAAATACACAGTGAACTTCTTGGAGGCCAAAGAGGAGGATCTCTACAGGTCTGTGAATGTGTTAGAGCTCCAGCCATCTAAGATGTCAACTATATGTTTTTAAGGCTGTATATGGTATCTGGTTTAAGGCATTTTTAAATATTGTTTTATCGTGGGTCATAGAAAACTTTGGTTACTTGTTCTTATTTATTATGTGGTGTGTCGTGACATTTTAAATTCACAAGATGATGGCGAGACACATAATTTTGATTCTTTGGTGTCTGATCCATTTGATGAGTTGACTGTAAAGTAGACTTTGAGACTGTGTGTTCTCTCTGCAGAGTGTCTGCTTACTCACTCTTGCTTTGCTCTCAGGATAGAGATTCCTTTCAAGTTCCACATGATGCACTCTGGCCTGGTACACGGCCTGGCCTTCTGGTTCGATGTGGCCTTCATGGGATCAGTGTAAGTCCTCTGATAGACATGCACCGCCTGTGGCTTGAACTGGATTCGAACAGCTTGTCTCTCGCCTGTCGCCCTGTAGGATGACCGTGTGGCTGTCTACAGCCCCCACAGAGCCCCTCACCCACTGGTACCAGGTGCGCTGCCTGCTGCAGTCGCCCCTCTTCGCTAAAGCTGGGGACACGCTGTCCGGCACGGCCATGCTGGTGGCCAACAAAAGGTAGTTTTGTGATGTATTCGCTCAGGTTTTAATCAAAATAGTTTAATGCTTAAGCCGTTCTGAATTAGACTTCAAAGTTTTTCAGAGAGCACAAATCACATTCAAGTAGATTTTCCTCTCCTTTTGTAACTTCACAACCACAACTGTAGTTTATTAGCTGGGGTTCTGAAGGAATGGACCAATACAAAGTAGAACATCATTTGGAAATGGGAGAAAGAACTTTGAATTGAACAAAAAATGAATTTCACTCTCTTTTTTTCTGCAAACATTTAGGGTTAATTTCAATAGTTGCCTTCAGAAGTCACCCAGTTAGGAAACAGGCCAGCTGTGTTAAATCTGAGCACAAATCCTGCTGCTCTGGGTCAGTCTGATGCTGCGTTCAGACCCAACGACATTTGAGGGGTGACTGGTGTACATGCAAAGTCCAGGTGGACAGCAGTCTAGGGTGAGTCAAGAAGTGTCGCATCAGGAAGTCTTGCAGTGCGGGAAATCTTTTGATATGGCTAGATCAAAAGGACATCACAAAAATAATGAATGAAAAAATTCAGAAAATGCATAAAAAATTACTTTCTCATTTTTAATCTTGTTTTCTGTGGTGTGAACTTTTTTGTATGTAAATGTGTTGTATTGGTGTAGGTAACAATACGGGTCAGCAGATCATCAAATGCGAGACAAAAATGTCAAGCATCTGACTTCAAAGTGCACAAGCATCCGACCTGAGGTGTTTGACATGTGAAAGACATTCTGTCTGAACAATCAGCATCCTGAAATAAAGTGATTAAGAATTGGAAGTTTTCCACAAACCATCTAAGGGTCACATCAAGGATGTAGGAGGTGTCCTGATCAGATGAGATCCCAAACACTATTAAGCACGGTATTGGCAGCAATCTTCAGGTGGGGATGTTTGTTCTTCCTCATGGAAACTGGGGAAAGATCAGCACACGACTGGAGCTGAGCACAGAAGACCTGAGACTAAAATCTAGCCAAAATTATTCATGTTAAAGTGGCCTAGTCAAAGCTGCCAGTAATTCTGGCAAGTCTTAAAAACTTCCACTCTCCATCCAACAAACTGACTCAGTTTTAGCCATTTAACAAGCTGGGCTGGAGCTGCAGCTTTTCAGATGTTTATTCACTACACATTTTGAATCTCGTGTCTCGTTGAATAATTCTATTAAAATTTACCATAATCCCTTCTGTCCCTCCAGACAAAGCTACGACATCAGTATTGTTGCCCAGGTGGACCAGACCGGATCAAAGTCCAGCAACCTCCTGGACTTGAAGAACCCCTTTTTCAGGTGAGTCCCTCCCCTCACTGCAGCTGGTTGCCACGGTGCCCATAGGACCACGCACACAGATTGCTGTTTGTGTCTTTGATCTCCAACCGTGTCTGTTTCTGTGTGCAGGTACACAGGCACCACCCCTAACCCCCCTCCTGGTTCACACTACACCTCCCCCTCTGAGAACATGTGGAACACAGGCGCCGCCTACAGTATGAGTCAGGGGATGGCTGTATCAGGTGAACACAGAAACACTCAGATTAAAGCTGCCCAGCCCACATCCTCCTCTATCTGGCTCCAGTCCCTCCTGCCCCCCACCAGGCATGAGGCTATTTTAAGACGCTGGGCAGAACTTGAAACCCTCTCTCAGCTTTCTAGCTGAGACTGAAGGGAGAGCACTGCAGAGGTCCTCCCATCCAGCCAATTAGAAAACTATTTAACCGACTTAAAACTGCAGTACGTAATTTTCATGAAAAATATGTTTTATGGGTATTTATTAAAACTGTCACCATGTCGTGACAGAATGAGACAATTTGTTTTTAAGGCTGCTTATGGTAACTGGTTTAAGGCATTTTTAAATATTGTTTTATCGTGGCTCATAGAAAACTTTGGTTACTTGTTCTTATTTATTATGTGGTTTGTCGTGATCTCATTAGATCTCCTTCCTGATCTACTGGTGCCCTCTGAATAAATGCACGGATCAAAAGCAACTTATCAGAGCTGAGAGGAGGAGTTTAACGCTCTCAATCAATCCTGTGTACTCTCTGCTAAATATGCTAATGGTGAAGAAACGACTCACTATTCCAGGAAATCTGTTTATCCGTCATCACGGGTTGCCATGCTAACTAGCCTTAGCATTCATGGCAGGATATGCTGACAAAGAGTATCTGCAACATAGCAGAGATAATTGAAGGGTATGAGCAATGCTTACAGAAGGATGATTGGCAGCACTGCATCCCTACTCCTGGCTCTGATTGGTTGTTTCTGACAGTGCTATTTATTTCTGCAGTCATCACTGAGAACAGGTAGAGCTTTAGCGTTTCAGATTGTCTCCTGTCGCAATATGGCGTGATATGGTTTTAACAAATATGTAGCTTATTTTTATAAAGTTAAATACCCCAGATATAATGAAGCAGACTTTTTTCTTCCTCTTGTCTTTCTTTCTTTTCTTTGTATGAGTTTATCCCCTCAATTTTTCTGTAATCCTGTCAGATTTTATGGTTAAAGCTGTTTCATAAATCTGTCCCACCATAAACTCCCTCAATTAGATTGCACTGAAGTCAAACTTGCATCAACCTTACCCTAACTGACCTCTGACCTTTCAGGTCAGGCTATTGATCCTGTATTGATCCACCTTTTGGGAGTCAGCAGGAATGATAATCTATTGCGGCAATCCATGCATCCACTCTGTCTGAAGAGATTTAAATGAGAGCTTAAAGTGAAATGAGAGGAGTCTTCCCAGTGATGGGTTTTATAAATGGGTCTTTGCAGACATCCATTCAGGCTCCAGTACTTTGCTCACTATCATGTGGAGTAAAATCACATCAGATTTCATCTGCAGCAGGAGATTCATGGACTAAAGTCGTTCAGATCTTCCTGGAGGTTCGTTCAGTGACTTGCTCGGTTGAACTTTGGCATGTGCTGAAAGGAAGCTGGAGTCGAATCCCAACCAGTCCATTACCAGACACCTACTCTTCCATCAGGGCCAGCCTCACTCATACTGTGGATCATGCTGATGCTCTGGATGCTGCGGTCTCCCACTGAGTGCTTCCTGGCAGTTAGACTGGACTTAAAGTTTTATTGTGATGTTTTGTGGCACTATGATAACAAAAAGAATGATTATGATTTTTTTTAGGCAACAGAATAGCTGTGACTGTATGAAGCGATCAAAGCCCCAACACACACAAATACTGCTTTTGAGAAACAACCATTTGTAATGAGTTTCTTTAGCTCAGCAGTCACATAAAAAATTATTTTTATCACTAAGCTGCACACTGTAGCTGCCTTTAATCATATTTGCATATTTATTGATATTCCCATTAAATAAACAGTGGGGAGAAAGCCTCAACAATATAAACATCATTAATTTGATTTTATTTTAACAAATCGGAATTCTTGTGATATGAAATTTATCAATATAAATGATAAGGCTGAGCAATATGGCTAAAAAATGTATCACGATATAATCCTTTCATATCAGTAGATATTGATAGTTATTGAGTTTTTTGTTTTGAATATCTGAAATCCTTCCAAACTGGCAACATGACCTGTCCTGTTTTAGCCAGTTTTCACTTCACACGGTTGTTTTGATTTTTTTAGCCAGTTATTAGTCCCTGAACCTGGCGCTCAGCACAGAGTCCGTCACCTAAAGCCTGACTGGACTGGCAGACACCATCGTTTTGACTGGCGTGTTCCAGCTGGGATGTGAAGCACAAGAACATCCTTCACAGTAAACATGGAATCGTTTACAGAAACCCAGATCAGCTGAACAGGCTGCAGAACCATGAAGAGGTCATGACTTTTAGAGACATGGCTGCATGCTTCAGTGGGTGCTGCTGACATAACCTCAGACAGTGGGACTAGCAGCAGGGTTCACCTGATGCAGATTATTCCCAAATGCTGGGATTGGAACCCAGATGTCTCCAGTAATCATCATGTTTAATGTTTATGTGAAACAACAGAGAGTAGGAAGGGAACAAACTGAACTATTCCAGACTCTGTTATGTATGTTTTAATTTTCTCTCTCTTTTTTTTTACCTCTTATTATTTTTGATCATTTGAAAATATGTTAACAATTGTGTTTAACCTGGATATGATGTTTCTGTGAAACCTTACATAGTTATAAATACCAGGTGTCCTTCATCTCCTCTGGAGTTGAATGGATGAAGTTGTATTCAAAATGATTAAATGCAGCTTTAGTTCAGAGCTTCTGTTTGATAAATCTGTGTGAAGTCAGAACTGGGTGTCCTTGGAGAACCTTAGTGGTAGATGCTAACTGCTGTGTCTGCTCTGTCCATCAGGGATGCCAACAGCTTATGACCTCAGCACAGTCATTGGAAGCGGCCCAGCAGTGTCTCACAACAACCTCATCCCTCTAGGTAGGTGTCTGTCTGTCTGCTCCTCATGCAGGGAAACAGCAAAAGAACTCCTGCTTTTATCTGGGTGATGCTGTGATAAATAAACTCGAATACACAGCGCTGTTGTTGTCACATCTGCTCATGTCTTTATTTTCAGAAAAGTGATCTGGTTCATTTCTTTTCTAACATACTAGAAATGTCTGAGATCAAATGTATGTAGCACAACCTCTGAATGATCAAGAAACTTCTAACGTTTAACAATGAAACTGGAAAATGTTTTATATGTCTAAAATAAATACAACAAGTAGTCAAGTAGTAATATAGATTCTTAAGTCTCTGTAAACAAATGAACTGAGACTGAAGCCTTTTGTCATCTGGTTTGCTAGAAAGAGACAAAATCAGTCATGCAAATGGAAATATTGTGTTAGTTTTAATTCACTATTCATGAATTGATTTATTGCGACAATTTTAATGATCGTCACTTTAAATAGCTCAACTAGTTAAAGTTTGAAACTTTAACTAGTTCCTGCTGCTGTTGAAGAACAGCAGCAGGTTCTAGCAGGACCGGTCCTGACCGGGTCCACAGGACATTCTGTCATGTACTAACTGATGAAACCAAGTTAACTTAGGTAATGGTGGGGTTTGGGTTGCTATAGTTCCCACATAGCATCTTAGAAGCGAGGATTGATTCTTTAATCTGATTGCTGTTCCCTCCATCCTCTCTGTCTGTCTCTGTCTTCTCTGTTGTCTATGTCCTCTCTGTCTCTGTCTGTCTCTGTCCCCTCCCAGTCAACACAGGGATAGTGAACCACACCCATTCGAGGATGGGCTCCATCATGAGCACAGGAATAGTCCAAGGTAATCTGCTGTTCACACAGCGTCTCCTGAAGCCTGGTCTTCAGAAGCCATGAAGCAATGCTCTGCTCTCTGTTCCAGGGGCCACAACGGGCCAGTCGGGTCCCAGCAGCAGCGGTACCTACTATCCCATCACCAACCAGTTCACCATGGGGGGCGCTGCCATCTCCATGGCATCCCCCATGGTCATCCCCAGCAACACCATGCATTATGGCAGTTAAAGTGAAGATCTTGTAAAGACATATCAGACCCTCTGCCCCTCCCCGCATGACAGGAACCTCTCTCCCCTCCCCTTCACCATCCACAACCAAAACCAGGAAACCAAAACTAGTGCTGTGCTGGCATCCCTTGCCCTGTCTATCCGTCCACGCCGTCTTTCTGAAGTAGTCCTACCTGTGGAGCTCCTCCAGTATCTACCGTTATCACAGTCCATCCACACACTGCTCCTGCTCGGCTCTGTTTTTTACTGTTGGGACCCTTTAAGTTGTTGTCTTCACCATTCTGTCTAATCCTGACCCCCTCTGCCTTGGGCTTCTGTCTTCGTGTTTCCGTGGTGACCCTCGTCTCCGAGCCCGCTCAGCAGAACGCAGACTGTCCCAGTCCGGTCCTCACCTCCAGCTGGTATTCTAATGACATGCAGCTTCGAGACCTTTAGGAGACGCATGCAGGTCACCTTCCATGCTGAGTGATGCTGCCAGACCTCTGAATATGTCTGCTGTTAGCGTTGGCTCTCTGTGCTCTAGCACATGACCAGTCCATAGAAGATGACAGATCTACAAATGTTATTTAAAACAATATGAGATGAAGCTGCTTCAAATGTTTCTCTAGACTCACCAGGCAGGAACTTCATATCTGTATCAAACTTAAAAGATTTACTATGAAGCAAAACCCATAGCGGCGTTGGTGCACTTCATTTTTATATATCAACCCTAATAATCTTCCCGGTAGGAATGAACAGGTTTCTTTACCTGCATTCTTTACTAGCAGCAGCAGAGGGCACTGTTCAACAACTGTTTTCATGCTTCTGGTTTTAAACTTAATTTAATCTGCTGATGGTGAAAAGATCATCTAGAAGAAAACCTTTAAATCGATGAATAGACTGTTTTGTGAAATATCACATAAATTGTTTCCACCTGTGGTGAGTAGAGCTGGATAGGCACACACTGCAAAAAAATAAAGCCTAACCAAGTATCTTCTAGTGAAAATATTTTTGGCAGATTATTTTCCTTATCACATGGGAAAATGTCATGTGAATGTCAAGTGAAAAAAACCTATGAGTGGAACTGTTTTTTTGGTGTTTTTTTAGTCAATATTGAGGAATGATTAACATAAAACAAGCTCTACAGCTTGCTGAAAATTTACTTCAAAGTTAATGTTGTCATATTCAAGTGTACAAAAATATCTGTATTAGAAACTAGACAAAGATACTTTGTTAGACTCTGCTTTTCCAGCACAAGAGCTTGATGGGTTTGACGTTTAGGGTATGAAGTTGACCAAACGGTATTATGGAGCTGCACTCAAAATTTGTGTCTGTTGACCATATAGCTTTTATATGCAAACAGCTGAGAGAAGACATTCTTCTGCTTAAACACTCAGCATGGAAGGTGATGAATGTTTTGCTCTGCTGAAACATTGGGCCCAGCCTAGGCATGGGCTCCTTCATCCTGGCTCGGTGTGAGGGATCAGCTGGAAGAACGGAGCATAAGGCAGTGACCCCTGGATAAGGCAGCGACCCCTGGAACCTCCTCTGTGTTTCCCCCACTTCACGTTTTACCTGAGACTCAAGTGTCTGGGAGCCGGAGCTCCTCATCCATTCACTTCCGTACGAATATCAGCATATCATCATCGTCTATAGCCTCCACCCACATCCACTTTTATCAGGAAAGGAAGGAGAGAGACTGACACTTTTATGCATTACTTCCAGTGTCAACTGTTGGAACTTGATTTTGCAAGTTTTTAGGAGAGCTTAGGAAAATGTCTCTTAGTAGGAACTATTTTTGTTGACTTGATTTTTTTTGTTTGTTTTTTTTTTCCTCTTTCACAAGAAAAGAAAAAAAAGAAAAAAAAAAAAAGAAATTAAATGTGGAGATGTTCCAACCCATCCTGGAATCCTGGAATGTTGTAATACTTTAGTTCCTTCTTTCCTCTTTGTAATATAGACTGTGGACACAAGCGATGTTTTCCATGTGCTAGTTAGCCTGTAGTCATACTGTCCCTCTCATCATGGACTCATGCTCTCTGTATTCAAATGGTGGCATCCACTGTTGATCATGGAACAGTGTAAAGGATTACTGTCATTTGTGTGTGTTGACCAATGAGAAATAACATGTTTGACGCTGTCTGACACTGACTCTTCTGCTGAAAACGCGGCTTTAGAAAGTTCTAGAGGTTGCAGTGTTTTGCCTCTTCACACTACTGGTAGCTTTTGGACTACAACACCAAATCCAGTTTTTGTTCCAATACAAGCCATAAACTCTACAGTAATACAGTAAGGAATATTTATTTCTTGACTCAGGCAAGCGATGTTGGAAAATGTTATAGGCTTTTAACAGGTCTAAAGATGGATGATGATCAGAACCTTAGGAACCAACAATTTAGTCACTTCTGTCAACTTGGACATGAAAATGAAGCTCATAAGATTAAATATACAGACAGTTTTGAACCATGTTTCGCTTTTGTAGGATTCAAATGAGTCATGATCATGGAGTCATAGACTTGCTGCCCCCATGTTCAGATCCACCTGCCTGTGGCTAGTTAACAGATGATCTGACAGTAAATCAGACAAAAAGGAGGATTGAAGTGATGCTAAGCATGGTGTGGTTATTGTCAGGCTTCCAGCAGCTGCTCTGATAAACCTTTAGCTATCCGGTGAGCAGCAGTTATGTGGATGGAATTACTGTTAGTGTTGGAATAGAATAAGCAGACTTCATCACTGAAGACATGGGCTCTTCAGGCAGACTGGAGCTACAGCAGCAGAAGGCCACACCAGGAGAATAAGACTCACTAAAACAGAACATAAACAGATTATTTACATAAAAGCCTAGTGTGATGGGTCTGAAATACTTAGATGACCAGGTCACAATTTAATGTAGATATGAAAGAACTGATCTAATGTATATGTGACTGAGGCTGGTGATGGTATAATAGTGTGGGATTTTGTTATTCATACTGTACCAGGTAAGTATAATTTAAAGAGACGGTGTCATTTTCAGAGCCTAATCTAGTAACTACGTTCCTGCTGCATAAATCAAATATGACTGAAAAGAAATTCGGCTTAAATAAGTCACTTCTTATTAAAGAAGTCTTTGTCTTTCTGACACTGCCTTCAAATTCAAAAACACTCGGTGGATCTCAAAGGTGAATTTATTCATTTGAATTTCTCAGAGTTTTTGTAGATGATGCCATTTGGCAGGAAAAATCTCCTGTAGCTGTTTGTGTCACAGAAAACTTGAAGAGGCCTCCGACTGAAGACAGTTTCTAGCAGTGACGAAGAGGATGCTCAGTGGTTTCAATAATTTTCTGTAAAATCGTTCTTTGCATCATCATCTCCAAAGGTTCCACAGCCGTCCCCTGAACAGAACCAGAACTAGCCTTTATCAGGTCTGAGTCTTTTAGGTCCCTGGTTGTGATGCAGCAGTTCTAACAGATGATGGAAAATGGATGACAAACTCAACAACAGACATTTTGCTTCAAACCTTGAAGGATCTTGGCTTCAGCAAGTCCAGTCTGCTCTGTTCCTTCGAGATGCTTCACTGTTGCATCTCCAGTCCAGTCTGTTGTCCAAATGAACGCCGAGGTATTTCTATTCCTCCACCTCTTCACCCATGATGGAAATGGGATTTGAGCTAACCCTGTTTCTCCTGAAATCAACAATCAACTTCTTCATTTTGTTTATTTTCAAGATAAGAAGATTGTATCCTCACCATGCGCTATACCAGATCTCTGTACTCTTGACTCTTTTCCATCTCTGATGCAGCTGATACTGCAGGATTATCTGAGTATTTCTGTCAGTGTGTAGAAACAATCAGTAGCTTTTCATCATCAGTGTGTAAATGTGTGTGTGAAAGGGAATGTCTGATTTCATTGTGAAGCGTCTAAGGGTTGAAAAACAATATGTCTGTCATTTCTGTAGATGATGTCAGACTTGTGTTGGAAGTCTGAAGTGTACATAGTGAAGAGGAATGGTGAGAGAACAGTCCCCTGTGTTGCTGCTGTTCAGATGGTTTGACACTCCTGCCTCAAACTATGGTCTTTATTTCACGTAGTCATCTCATAAATTCTCCATTATACAGTTCAAAACTGTTCTTGAGAATGTCGGACTGAGTAGTAGCTAATATAATAAACTCAAGTATGCAATTCCACCAGGTAATTGCTAATTGCTTCTGCTAGTCTGGAGGAGCTGAGTGGGGGATTGAGGGGAATCGGGTTCTTTGGGGTGGAAGCTCAGCTGGAGACTAAAGCTCATAGCAGGATCTTAGGAGAAATTGTGTTTGTGGCCCTCACCCCATGGCTGCAACAGGAGACTAAAGGATTTCTCAAACACGCATAAAAGATTCAAAGCAACATCCAGGTATGTTTTGAAGAGGAATTAATATGACGTAGACGTGATATAAAGTTCAACATTTCAATTTGACATAATACATCCCTTTATAAACAATCCCAACCATTTACAAACGATTGATATTAAACAAGTTTATCACTGTCAGCCAGTCCTCTGATGGTGTCTCAGAGCTCCAATCATCTCTAACTGGTTTCGTCAACATGCCAGTGACTTTCATTTGTTCCCAGTGGATCGACTGGGAATGCTGGGTACGTTTGTTATTATAAATATATCTAGAGTGTTTCATGCATGTCTGAGAACTCCTTGAGTCTCCCATGGCAATGATTAATGGGAGCCCAAATGCTTGCTCTCACTCAGTACCGCCTATTTCACAAAAGCTCCTCCTTGAAGCTGCAGTCTCAGACTTCCACCTGACATAGCATAGCTCCTCCAGACTAGTGGCAGCAGCGATAAGTGAACACCTGGTGCAACTGGAGTCTGCTGAGCTCATTGTATGAACTATTTCTCTGTCCAACTCTCCTAAAAATGGATGTAAATGGCATCATGGAATGGCTCTGTTGTCATGACATGCTGAAGGGGGAGTGTTGGAAAGAGAAAGAAGCTCCTTTAGGTCCATTTTAAGGCATCAAATTGTGAAGACATTGCTTTTGTCATTTTTTAAAACATATTTTGCACTTGTATAACTGAAGTAACACTGTTGTTTTATTGTAGTATAAGATGGCAATCTAATGGAGAAATATAATAGATTATATTTATAACCCCCTTTATATCTTCAGATGCACATAATATTCCCCGTTCACAATCAGAATACTGATTGTAATTTATGAAAAGAAAGATCTAATCTGATTTTAAGTCAGAAAGTGAGAGTTTGGGAGAATAGTTGCAGGATGTGGCTCTAAACCCAGCAGAGTTGTTTGATTTTAGATGGAGAGATAGAGCAGGGCAGATGGTGTCGGGGGCCGGCAGAACAAGCCCCTCCCTTCCCCGGTGCTCCCCTGGCAGTTCGGGACTCACACTCAGACTCACACTCGGCACCAACACGCCTCAGTCCCGCAGCGGTACACGGTGTCCTCCTGCTAGAGCTCATCACCGGTAAGTACTCGGCGGCTCTGCGCCGGCAGCCGCACGAGGCTCTCGGACGGACCGGGTTTCTGCCGCGTGGCGTTGATGTCTGTGCACGCGCTCACGAACACTCCTAGCATCTGGTCAGCGGGGCTGGGCTGTCCACGGCGCGAGCGCGGTTTTGCCCGTCCCCGCATTAGTGTGAGTGGGACATATGCTGCCGGTGCGTGTCCCTGTCAGCCCGCCTGGCCCGAATTAATATTAATGTGTTCCGGATGAACCGGCAGGATCCAGTCAGAACCAGATTTGTACTCGCGCTGTTATTAGCAGGAGTTTTCACAACAGCGTCTTTAACAAGTTTCAGAGTCGCAGCGACGTGGATTTATCCTGGGTGGAGAAAGTCTATAGTGGGGGTAAATGAACAGGTTCCACTCTACATTGTTAAGAATTAAAAAGAGGAATAACTTGATTTATCTCGTTAATTAATTCTTTGTCCCGAATTCCTGTGTCTGTGTAAGTGTGCAGAGAGAAAAGACCAATCATACAACGTCAGATTTCAGATATCCATAACTTTATCCAAAAGTGAATACAAATACATACAGAATAACAGAACACCATTTACACCCAGATATATCAAAAAGCCAACACCCAATGACAAAACAGAATATTACCTGATTCAAAAATGCATTTTTGGGAACCACTCATTCAGCACCAAGCGATTCGAACTTCTGCTGTAAAACAAATCATTTATAGACTGCGTATTCTCCTCATTTAAATATATGCATTAGGAGGTGTGTTCTTTTCCTTTGTGTGGGCTGTCTCAATGTTAATTTTATTACCTCTTGCTAAAGAGCCCCAAAGCAGATATACGGAAAACCCTTCTCGTACCAGCCGCTGTCCAGTTTGATATATGATTGCAGCTGCAGCGCTATCTCTGCCTCAAAATGTTTTCACAAGAAAGTAGTTTGTATTTTTAACCAAGCTTGCACACAATGTAATGCTAAATAATGACTATAAGTTTGGATCTAATAAGTAACTAATTAAAAACATGCTTAAAGAAATATAGTTAATTCTAATATAGATAAAATTATTTATAAAAAGTTTTAAGATCCTAGTGAACTTTTGAACCATGCTCAGGAATTTGTTAATTGCCTGGCAGACAGGCTCCCTATGTAAAGAGATTCAAGGAGTCTAAGACTGTTTTCTGATTAGGAATTTCTGTAAGTTCTGAGAGTCACCAGCTGTCCCAGTTTGGATCTGTATCTAAGTTTATCTTAACCTAAAAGTTAACTTATGTACTATTGTGCTACTTTAAAATTCTTATTTCAACAAAAGTCTATAGTGGGGGTAAATGAACAGGTTCCACTCTACATCCAGCCTGCTCTCATCCCAACACAGATTTGTTAGTGACGTTGCGTTAAACAACATTGAGCTTTTTTCTCCCTTTTCTTTTTGAATGTCATTGCTAATCAGGTGTTTGTGGCTGCAGGTCCTGCTGCTCCATCCAGGACCTCTGGCTCTCTGGCTCTCTGACGCCTTCAGGGCATCTGGTAAGAAATTCAAACGCACAGCTCATTTCCAGGTGCCTGGATGGACACAGGAGGCACTGCAGGTTCACAACAATGCACCTGTGATATGTTGACAGCTTACATAAACATTTCTTACTGACCTGCTTTACCAGTCAACTTTTGTTTCCTGGTTGTTGTTGAAGAACGGAAACATGCAGATAAAAGATCTATAATCAGTCTCATTTTATCTGCTGCCGTTTATCCATTCTGTAGCCACAAACTTTTATCACATACTACAGGCCTGACTCATTTATTTATTCATTCATTCATGCTGAGCATATACTGAT